TTTTTTATTAATTTTACTTAATAAAAATAGATGAAGGATTTATATTAAAAATAAAAAATAAAAATTTAAGTATAAATTAACAAAATTATAAATTAATAATTTATTTTATTATAAGACTCTATTCATAAATGCTTTAATTTGGTTTTTTATAATGATTATTACATAATTTCGGCTCCATTTTCTCCAAAAATTTGGAACAAACATCCAAATTTTGTCAAAATCAAAATTCCCTCATTAATTGTTTTTGACAAATCCCTAGACCCTTTCTTTAGCACAAACGAGAGAGAGCCACCACTATTGCTGCAGAGATTTCTGGACTTGGGGTGTGTCGTGAGCTCATGAGCCAAATTTACGCCCCTATATATGGTGTTTGGTTATGAGATATGTGATTAGTAGTTATGATATATGTAATGTTGGTTAGGAGGCAAATAGTGTTGGTTATGAGTTGTGGTTATGGCATAAATGGGTAAAGGTTGTGAGATATATGATTAATGATTATTAGATATGTGATTTTCGTTATAAGCAGAGTGATGTAATTATAAGTCAAAGGGTGTTTGGTTATGAAATATGTGATTAGTGGTTATGAGATATGTAATGTTGGTTATAATCAAAATGATGTGGTTATGAGATATGTGATTAGTAGTTATGATATATGTGATGTTGGTTATGAGATATGTAGAGAATGGTTATGAGATATTTGATTAGTGATTATAAGATATGTGATTTTGGTTATGACCAAAGTAGTGTCAAAGGGTGCTTGGTTATACCATACGTGTTAGTGGTTATGAAATGTGAGATATTGGTTATGATCAAAGTGGTGTAGTTATGAGCAAAGCGGTTGTTAGTTATGAGATATATGACTAATGGTTATGATATGTAATGTTGGTTATGACTCGGGTTGGTTATGAGATGTGGTTATGATTCATGTAGGTAATAGTTATGAGATATGTAATCAATGGTTATAAGATATGTGATACTGGTTTATGAACAAAGTGGTGTGCTTATGAGCAAAATGGTGTTAGTTATGAGATATGTAACTAGTGGTTATGAGATATGTGATGTTGGGACCCTTATACTCCTCTGATTTCCTTTGCCCACTTTTTGGTAACCGGTTACACCGGTTGCCAATTCAAAATTAAATTATTAAAATAATTTAGTTATGCGGTAGTTATAAAATAATATAATATGTATAAACAACTAAATATAATTAAGTTATAAGTTAATATGATAATGGTTATGATCTATATGATATTAATGGATATCCAAATATAACATAGCATCACCCTAAAACGATAACAAAAACAGAAAACAAAGCTTCCACAACTAAAAAAAATACAATTAGAATCACATTCAACAAATCTGAAAATATATATATATATATATCAAATATTGTAAAGAATCATAACAAAGAATTGTAAAGCTAACCTGTTTCGACACAAATTTAATCTCATTGCAAAGAATTAACAACAACCTCAAACAAGATCTTCTTTTAAACCAGATTTGGCAAAAATCAATACAAACTCCTTTCAAATTAAATCCCCTCAATGAACGAAATATAGAATTGTAAAAAGGTATTTATAAGATTCAAGTATTTGAATGAAGGGCAAAAAAGGAAAAGAAAAAATTATCAAAAAGCGCATAAAATGATTAATTCTAACAAATTTAAAACACTAAGAGACCCCAACTATTAAAAATACTTTCACAATCCTTAAACGTATACATCCCTATGTTTTGATATATGAGTAATATATCAAAATTTTTTTTTACAAAAATTGATTATTTTGGATTTTTTCCCCCACTAATGTGTATTTTATGATTTTCATACTTTATCTTAAGAAATGAAATTAGAAACACTTTTTTTATTCAAATTGATATGATTTAAATATTAAAAATAAAAATAATATAAATTTCTTACTTTACAGTAATTTTATAATTGAGTTTTCATATTTATTGTAACTTTAATAGTATCTACCAACGAAATTAAGTTTTTATTTTTTAGATAAGAGAAACAGAACAAACCAAACTAAGTTGGAGAACCAAATTAAAAAATATATATATATTTTTTATAGATTGGGAAAATTATTAAAGAATGAAGCTTTGAGTACCAAAAAAAAAACAGGTAACCCTACTCTTTATAATTTTGTTCTCTGGGTATTGTGGCATCAATCGCAACAAAACACTTTGCAGCAGCTAATCGAAATTCAAAATCGAAAGAGAGATTCGGAGTGTATATAGCGGTTCACTATTTAAGCCTTCAAATTGGGAATTGGTTGTTGGCTGCAGAGGTTTCCCTTTCTTTTTCTGCGTAAGTATATATGTATATGTGTGTGTAGGAGCTTAGAAGGTAATTAACAATGGGGGATGGTAACAGCAACAACAACAACAATAGGGGCATTTCAGGGAATAACAATAGCAGTAGCAATAGCAATAGCAGTGGTAGTAGTCGGCCTGAATGGCTGCAACAGTACGATCTTATTGGGAAGATCGGAGAGGGAACATATGGTCTGGTATTTCTAGCGAAGATCAAATCCAATCGGAGCAAATCCATCGCTATCAAGAAATTCAAGCAATCCAAGGACGGCGACGGCGTCTCCCCCACTGCCATCCGCGAAATTATGGTCCGAAACAACAGGGGCATCCCTCTTTCTCTGTCTATTTTTTAATTAATTTATTGTGTTTGCTGGTTATGGGGTTTTGGATGAAAACGTGCAAACATTAATTTTGACTCAGAAAAGTTCAGCTCTGCTAGGTATTGTATCATAGGCTCGGTTTTTTTTTAGAAAAACAGAAAGAAAAATAAAAAATTTCAAGTCTCTTTTGGCTTTCCATGTATGGGGTGATTAATGTAATATATTTTTTTGGGTGCTTAATATGTTAGAATTATAGGGAAAGAGAGAATTTTGTGATTAATTGATTGCCTAACTATTACTAAGGTAGTTTATTTATAGATGTACAATAAATTAACATAGCATATAGTGGTGAACAAGAAATCCTAAATAAGGAAATAGAGAAAATAAGGCAACACAATATTTTTGGTAGAATATGTATTAGCATCCCCTCAAAGTCAACTAGCTAATTCAACTTGAGTTTGGAAAGTGAGACAAAGTAGAGAGCAACAGAGATGTTGATGGAGGTGGTGGTGGTGGTGGTGGTGGTGATGCTGCAGCAAATAAAAGAGCTTTGACTTCATTATGATGCTGTCCTGTTTGAAATTTAGCGGAGAGACAAGGAACATGTGTGTGCGAGATTTGAGAAGAGCCCACCCAAAGTAGAGAGATCATAGAGTCTGAGAAGTTGGAGAAAACAGTGAGTAGATTCCGGAAGGCCAGGACACACAAGGTGAAGAGTTTGACAAAAATAGTTAGAGATTCAGGGTAAAATTCAAATGTGGAGTGTATGGAAGCACTTGAGAGAGATTTGAGGCAAAATCCTAATGAGACGAGCCAATGCATGGTTAGAATCTGACTAGGATTTCTCATGTTAGGGTGAGCTAGTTTATGGTAATGGTTGGACAAACAGAGAAGACAGAGTCCGTCTGCATTGCATGCAGCAAATTGCATCTAAAATGATGCTCTTAATTAAGCACGAAGAGAATACAGTAAGCCCAATGAGATAGTGGTGGCTCACAACAAGGATTGATCAAGATTTTTGCCACCGGGAGAGTGTATTAGAATTGCACAAGACCACTAGGCAAAGAATCACTAGTGTAGGTGATTAAAGACTAAACATGATTTTCCTCCCAACGGAGTGCAAAAAAATGCACTAGAGAGAGTCCAATATGTCTAAAAGAAAATTTAGATGATAAGTGAAGTCCGTGAAAAGAGACAAATATCTTGAGAGAGGAGAAACACATATAGAGTCAAAAGTATAAAAAAGATAGTGAAAGTGGATAACAAAAGTATGTTTCTTTTGTTCTTATTTTTTATTTTTTAAATAAAGATGAAGGTGGGGGACATGCTTGTGTATTTGGAGGAAAAAAAATCAGTGATAAAACAGAGGGAGGATCTCTTAATTGAGAAAAAAGAGAGAAAGGGAGAGAACTTAGCGAGAGATGAGAGAGGAAAGAGAGAGTTATTGGAGAGGGAAAGGTCTTAATGATCCCTGAGTATGTAGGAGTTAGAGTAAGGTTAAAGAAGGACAAAGCTTCGATGAGGAAGTGAGGATGTTCTTAGTGACGATAATTGCCAGAGATGGTGGTTGGAAAAAAATGAGGGATGAGAGTTCAACAAAAAGACCATCGATTGTGGTGACCAACACACTAAAGATCTAGTTAGCATTGGCAATGGCAGGGAGGACAATGAGTTGCTATTGATTGTAAGTTTCAAAGGGAGAGAGAAATGTGAGTCAATTGAAGAAACCAAATTGCAACAACTGAAGGGCAATAGGTGATGCTGTGCTTGTGGTAGAAGTGAAGGCAAAAGACAAGTTGCTGGAAGTAGCTACAAGTGATGGTTTTTGGGAGGCGACCTCTATTGAGGAGTGGAACCAAAGGAGGCCAAGAAACTTATAGGAGGTGGTGATGCTGGTTATGAAGGAGAGATAGCAAGGGAGATTAAGCACAGCGATCCAGTTGGCAGAGTAGATGAGGTAGCAGCCAATGGGGCTATTGCTAGGAGTCATGCGAGGAGGGAATCTTTGCATTCTAGTAGGTCGGTGCCAATAATGATGAGGTCGATGTTGGAGGGTTTGATCGCTACACAGAGCAGATTGAGAGGTGAATAGAGATAAGAGCGGTGGGACCTATGGGCTCGAGTTGCTTGATGGCAACATTGCAGATGGAGTGGACAGTTGGAGAAGACTATTGCATCGATTTGTGCGAGGTGGCAACCTAGTGTCAACAATTTGTGCAAGGTGGCAACCTAGTGTCAACATGGTTGAGTTGATCACGACTGAGGGGGTTAAGTTGATCACGGCTGAGGGGGCTGAGTTCTAGTTGGTGAATTTTGACTTACACGAGGATCCAATGGATGGGGGCTCAATAGGCAGAGATGACAAAGAGGTTGGTCATTACCCACCAATTAAGCACCATGCATAGGGTTTAACCGAAGGGTGGCTTGATACCATGCTAGAATTACAGGGAAGAAAAGAAGATTGTGTTAAGACTGATTCCTAACTATTACTAGAGTAGTTTATTTTGAGTCTTAGAAAAGAGTGCTAACTAAGAAACCTAGCCTAGAGCAGTGTCACATGGACTGCTTACTTCTCCTAATGTACCCAGTTCACTGAACACTTCTAAGAATGGGCTAGAAAGTACGGACACTTCTAAGAAGGTAAAGTGTTGTGTCATGTCGGACATTGACACGACACGACACTCGTCGAACACTTTCCAACAATTCGATAAACATGAAACACATTACAAGTTTGAATAAATTAACTTGGAATCCAATGATAAAGAAAAATAATATAAATTTATACTTATTCTCCTCATTTAGTCATTAAAAATTATTATCTGACTTAAATATTCATATTATGGCATATAATAATTATTTACCCTTATATATGGCATATACACTAGACTAAATAGTAAGGAGGAAGAGAAGAAGATATAAAAACTTGCTAAGATAAGAGAGAGGAAAATAATAGATTTTAATCCGGGTAAGTGCATCAAGGGTGAGGACGTTAACGTGTGGGTGAAGGATGAAGAGATTAAAGTGAGGTAGAAGAACTATTTTGAGAAGTTGTTAAATGAGGAACATAGAGGTAGGTCAAAAGGGGAGAAAATAGACAATAATAAGGAAAACGAAGACTATAGGTTCTATCGTAGGATTAGGGACTTTGAAGTAGAGTTTGCATTTAAGAAGAAGAAATTGAATAAGGATTTAGGACCAGATGATATACCTATTGAGGCATGGAAATGTTTGGGTAAGAAGGGGGTTGTTTGGTTGATTAGGTTATTTAGCAAGATTTTGTTGACTAAGAAAATGCCAGAGGAGTGGAGGAAGAGTATTTTAGTGCCAATATATAAAAATAGAGGAGATGTCTAGAATTGTAATAACTATAGAGGAATCAAGTTAATGTGTCATACAATGAAAGTGTGGGAGAGAGTGATGCATTGTGAGATATAACAGAATTGTCAGACAATCAATTTGGGTTTATGCCTGGTAGGTCAACAATAGAAGCGATCTATCTTTTGAGGAGAGTAATAAAAAGGTATAAAGAAGAAAAGAGACATTCATATGGTTTTTATCGATATTAAGAAAGTATATGATAGAGTGTTTCGGGATATAATATGGTGGGTGTTAGAGAAGAAAGGGTGACAAAATGTTACATTAATGTGATTATGGATATGTATGAAGGTGTGGTGATCACTATTAGATTGCCTGTTGGAGAGATGAGCGAATTTTCAATTTCTATAGGGTTACATCAAGGATCAACCTTAAGTTCTTATCTTTTTGTTTTTGTTATGGATAATTTGACGGGCAATATTCAGGATGATGTGCCATGATGCATGCTTTTTGCAGATGATATCGTGTTAGTGGATGAGACTAGAGAAGGAGTTAATACTAAGTTGGAGATTTGGAGAAAAGCACTTGAATGTAAAGGATTTAGAATAAGCAGAACTAAGACATAGTCTATAGAGTGTAATTTTAGTAATAGTCACAATGGAAATAGAGGAGAAATGAAGATTGAGAATCAAGAACTACCTAAGAGTGAATATTTTCGTTATTTAGGATCGATTATCACAACGACTGGGGAGATTGGGGCGGATGTGGTCCACAGAATTAAGGCGGGGTGGCTTAACTGGAGGAGTACGTTTAGAGTACTGTGTGATAAATGAGTGCCCATTAGACCAAAAGGGAAGTTCAATAGAACGACTATTAGACCAGCAATGTCGTATGGGACAGAAAGTTGGGCAACTAAGAGACAACATGTGGAGAAAATGAGTGTTGTAGAGATGAGGATGCTATGGGGAATGTGTGATAAGACTAGAAAAGACAGAGTTATGAATGAGTATATTCGAGAATGGGTAGGAGTAGTACCCATAGAAGATAAGTTGGGAGAGAATAGATTGAGATGGTTTGGACATATACAACAGAGACCAATAGATGCAGTAATGAAGAGATGCGATTCAGTGACGGTAGATGATAGTATTAGGGGAAGGGGTAGACCTAGATTGACGTGGCTAGTGTAGTAAATAGAGATATGAATCTCCCTAATTTGACTAAGGAATGGTCTTGGATAGAGTCAAGTGCAGAAGAAGGATTCATGTAGCCGACCTCATTTGATGGGACTTAAGGCTTGACTTGGCTTGGTTTGGTTTGGTTTGGTTTGGTTTATATATGACATATAATAAGTACATTATATATTTTGCACGATCTCCCATGTGTTCTACATATTTTGAAAATTTGCTTGTCGACGTGTCTGTGTCCGTGCTTCTTAGGGTATGGGATGTGTCCAATGCCTAAAATAGTCGCTTAAAATATTCTAAGTTTTACAATTTTTGAAGAAGAAGAATATCCTATTTTGTAGTAAAGAAAACTGTCCAGCCTCTGACATGAATGAGAGATGAAAATCCCTTTTGTCCCTAAATCCCTTATAATTTAAATTATATTAATAATAATTTACAACATCTTATATTAGAATATCATACAAATATGATACAATGCACAAGATATTTTAATATTTCAGACGTGTCTACATATCTGTACTGAACTTTTACGTACATGACCAAAATATCCAAATATTTAAGTTTAGGAAGATCTGATGCTTGGACACATGTGCACCCAATATTCATACTCAAGTCTATGTAACATTGGCCTAGAGTGGTGAACAAGAAATCCTTATTAAGGAATTAGGGAAATAAGGAAAAATAATATTGCTGGGGAATAGAGATTAACTAATATGAATAGAACCACTAAACTTCGACTAAAAATTTTAAAAATAAAAGAAAAAAAGCTAAACTTTGCCAAATAATTGTATAACAGGCACAAATTATGGTTTTATTTTTATTTTTAAATTTGGAAAGTGATATATATATATATATATTCAACACACATATACATAAACTTCTATATATGTATGTATTTTGCAAAGGTTCAAAGTTCATATTTTTTTAGTGCAAAAGAAATTTGTTAAACCTTGGTTTGGTTGCTGAAAGCTAAGATGAAAGAATGATGAATCTTTGGTCTTGTTTTTTTAGTTGGTCTTTGTTTGGTTGCTGCAAAAATGGTGGAAAAATGAATAGAAATTTATGTTTCGAGGGCTAGCATTGGTTTTATTTCAATTGGATATTATGGAAAAAGTTTGTTGTATGAGGATTAGTACCTTTAATAATAATTAGCTTCCCCTGGGTTGAAAGGTAACAATATTAGATGCCAGTCTTGCTAAATTTGTAAGCTTATCAATTATTACTATGGTGATGACTTATCAAGCACTTGTGAAGTGGATAAGAATGAGGTTTGTACTAGGTTATTTTTTTTTGGGGAGCAAAATCTACTTTACCCCCATGTGGTATAGTCCTAAGTTGACTCACTTGACCCACCTTATAACCCCATGTGTTTTTGGACTAAATTGCTACCGTTAGATTTTCCGTCCAAAATAATAGAATGTGTGGCTCACGCACCTTTGTTGACAGTGTGGAAGAAAAAATATTGGTTAAAGTCAAATTTTAATATGAAAAGACAAAGTAACCTTGTCTTCATCTTCTGCTTAAACAAATAACCCTAAACCACCCACCCAAACCGCCATCTCGTTACCTATATATTATTCAAATGGAACCCAAATTGTGTATTGTTACCTTTGTTTTTTTGATTCCTTTCATTCACAAGCCCAAATTGTATATTGTTACCTGAATATATCAGCATATCTATACATATAAAAAGGAGTTTTGTTTTGTTAGATTTATAGTAGATTAGGAGTCTTGATTTACAATAGATTAGTAGTCTTGTTATCTTTCATTCATTCAAATGGAACTCAGATTGTACACATAGATTGAAATGTGTAGATGAGGAGTCTATGTGATGCTTGCTGCAGGAAAGAATGGAGAATAAGATGAGTTGGCTTTGATTTTGAGGGACTGATTTTTAAAAAGAAGATGAAAGTTTGCAATCTATTGTGATCCACCACCTCCTTTCTCTTTGTTTTTTATTTTTTACTTTTGCCGTAGGAATTGGTTTGGTGAGAGGATGGCTGAAAAAAATGGAATTGGGGGTGGAAGACAAAGTGTATGAATGCCTTTTTACAAGTAAAGTTAACAGACTTAGTGTTTAAATTTAGTCCAAAAACAAATGGGGTTATATAGCTATTTTTAGAATACTGGGGTAAAGTGTTTTAAGGCTATACCATAAGGGGAAAAGTAGATTAAATTTTATGAATTTTAATTTGGTTACTATTCTTTTATTTCTTCAATATATTCATTGCAATAAAATGGAGCATTGCTAGAAAATTGAAATCTAAGAATAATTCTCTTGGTAATGGTTGATTCCATTTTGTGAAGTTGAGAATATTCTTACTTGTTAATGATGCAGTTGCTTCGGGAGATAAACCATGAAAATGTGGTGAAGCTTGTGAATGGGCACATCAATCACGTCGATATGTCGCTCTATTTGGCTTTTGATTATGCTGAGCATGACCTTTATGTGAGTACATGTTTCTTGAGGTTGATGCTTATTGAAATAAGTTTCCTTTGGGCGATGTAATATTTCTTGCTTTCCTGTTCGAGTCCATCAATTGTAAGAAAAGGGTTTGATATATGCGTGTTTTTGGGAATCCAATTGGAGTGTGCAATTTTGTGCTCTCATGAAAAGGCAATTGTTATGTTCTAAAATGTATATTGGCACACATGCACCGGCTTATGTTAGGATGATTTGAAGTGTTATTTTATGTTGGCCTTTTCTTTTGCATTGAAGCAAACTCAAGTTCATCTTTTAGTACTCTAGTGTCACAAAGTCATATGTTACACCTACAACTCTGATATATGTAGCTAGTTGAGAAGAAATATTCTGGAAAAAATAATGCTAGAATTGAAAAAATGCTAAAAAATGCTATGAATTTCTCCAATAATACTACTTTTATTTAGCGTTTCTTGAGGTCTTCCTGTTTAGTGCTATTCCTTTTGTGTTTTTGGTTAGTAGTTTGGTAGTTAACTCTGATTCCAATCAAGAAACGTGTTTATGTTTCAAATATACCATGTCACATACTTGGTCAGAAGATGCATATATGCAATAATGTGAGTGTGTATTGTTGCTTCAAAATCTTGAAGAATTTTGAGAACCTTTTTGTGGAAAATTTTCTTATTTTGGCGAGGACATTGAATGATTATTAATAAAATGACATTGGAAATAATCAAAATACGTTGCATATGTTTTTAAAATTTATTTTGATAGTCAAAATGATTCAGGAATTTAGGGGGAATGTTGTTGTAAATAAAGATATTAGTGGAAATGAAGTCTTGTAGAATGAACTCTTTTTATTCAAGCTCTGAGTTTTTTTTTTTTTTTTTTTTTTTTTTTTTTTTTTTTTGGGTGGGATAGTAAAATTTTACTTTGTCACTAAAGTTCTTGGTAATTAACAAGGGGAAAGAAGATCTCCACTTATTTCATTCATTTAGTGCTTGCGGGGAAGTATGACCCACAACAAACAAAGGGGGAAGGCTTGCTTCTTGTATTGTAGCCCTATTTTAGTAGATTTGGCTTGGTAAGCTAAAGCTATTTAAGTAGGCTCAAGAAGGTTAGGCTTGTAGCTTCACTTAGCCAAAAAGCCTTACTTTCACGTTGAAATACTGAACTTGTCCATGCCAACAAATCAACTACTTAAAATATGCCAACTGTTTTATTTTTTCTTGTTCCAACTAATCTTTATGGTCAGGTGGTTGACGAGGTCCATCAAACATAGATTCAATACGCAAAGAAAATTTCAATAAAATCAATCCTTTTGATCTTGATGAAATAGTCTATTAGTAGCAATCACTGGCCTATTCTGCTGGATAGTTGGGGAATTCGGAGTGGTCCTTGGCCTTTTCAGTTTGAGAATATGTGGCTTCATTCAGATAGCTTCGTTGATAGGGTGGGCTAGTGGTGGGAGTCTTATGCTGTTTTGGGTACTCCTAGTTGTAGGTTGGCACATAATTTGAAGTTGCTTAAGCAGATTTGAAACAGTGGAATAAGGAGGTATTTGGTCATTTGGAGGGGCAAAAGGCATATGTGTTGGCGCAATTGCAGGTTCTGGATGTTATTGAGACCGATAAGGGTTTGTCCAGTGAGGAGGTTCTGCGGAAAGAGAGGATGCGGGGTGATTTTGTTTGGATTGCTCAGATAGAAGAGATTAGTTTTAGACAGAAGTTTAGGTGTTTGTGGCTGAAGGATGGTGATCTCCATCGAATGGCTAATGCTCATCAGCGAATGAATCAGATTGGCAAGATCCATGTTAACGGGATGGAGTTGTTGTCTGATGAGGAGGTGAGGGCAAGGATTGTTGGCTTTTATCAGAAGTTCTTCAGGAGGATAGAAGAGGAGTTGCAGTCGGGGGTCAAGGGTTTGGATTTTGGTGTGATTTCTGATTTGGATAGTTAGGCTCTAGAACGACTATTTTCCGAGGAACAGATGGTCGGTGCTTTGGAGGGAATGTGTGGTGATAAGGCTTTGGGGCTGGATGGTTTCACATTGACATTCTTGTGAAGGGGAACATGATGGAGACAATGGAGTAGTTCTATCAAACAAGTCAGTTTGAGAAGAGTTTTAATGCGACCTTTATTTCTTTGATTCCTAAGGTAGGAGGGGCCAAGGACATTTGTCAGTTCAAGCCTGTTAGTTTGTTGGGGAGTGTGTACAAGCTTTTGGCTATAGTTTTGGCGAATAGGCTTCGAGTGGTGTAGGGTCAGTGGTGTCAGAGTCCCATAATGCGTTTGTGGGGGGGTCTCTAGATTTTGGATGCGGTTTTGGTGGCTAATGAGTGTGTTGATCCTCGATTTTGGCAAGAGCGCTAGATGTGATTTGTAAATTGGATATTGAGAAAGCTTATGACAATGGTAGTGGAGAATTTTTACTGTCTGTGATGGTGCGTATTGGTTTTGGGTTGATATAGAGGTGGTGGATCCAGTTTTGTGTTTTGACTGTGCGGATGTCGGTGTTAGTAAATGGGACACTTGCTAGTTTTTTTTCCAAACCTTTCGAGGGTTGTGTTAGGGTGACCCTGTTGTCCCCTTTGCTTTTCTTCTTGGTTATGGAGGCGCTGAGTAGGTTGTTGTTTTGGGCCATGCATGGTGGTTTGTTGGAAGGTTTTCGAGTGGCTGCTGGTGATGTGGATCCATTTGTTATCTCTCATCTTTTGTATGCTAACAATGCCTTATTTTTTGTGGGGTTGAGTCGGAGCAGTTGGGGAATTTGCATTGTGTTTTGCTGTGTTTTGAGGCAATTTTGGGTCTTTAGGTGAATTTGAGAAAGTCATATTTGATTCTGGTAGGGGATGTGGATCAGCTTACGACTTTTGTGACTATTGTGGAGCGTAAGGTGTCTGCTTTGCTGATGTCATATTTGGGTTTGACATTGGGGACTTCTTTTAAGGGAAAAGGGGTTTGGGATGGGGTGTTGGACATGGTTCAACGTCGGTTGGCGAGGTGGAAGAGGCAATATTTGTCCAAGGGTGGGAGATTGACTTTGGTTAAAAGTGTGTTGGGTAGTATTCCAACTTATTTTATATTGGTGCACGTGATTCTTGTGTCGATGGCTTGTCAATTGGAGAAGTTGCAACGGGATTTCCAATTGGGAGGAGGTGGGGGGGAGTTTAGGTATCATTTGGTTAGTTGGGATTGGGTTTGTCGCCCAAAACAGGAGGGGGGTTTGGGGGTAAGATGGTTGTGTACGTTAAATTTAGCTTCGTTGGGAAGTGGCTATGGTGTTTTGCGTGGGAGAGGGATTGATTGTGGTGGCTATTAAGTATGGGTTGGGAAGGGGGGAGTGGAGTACAGGGGATGTGGAAGGTCCTCATGGGTGTAGTCTTTTGGAAAGGTATTGGGTTAGGGCGGCGGAAGGTTTGGGATCATGTCCAGTTTCGGGTGGGTATAGGTGATAGGGTACGATTTTGGCAGGATCGGTAGTGTGAAGAGGTTGCTTTGTAGTTTCGGTTCCTGTTGATTTTTCGTTTGGCGATGGATCTTGAGGCTCTGGTGGTCTTTTATATGGGTGGTGGCGGTGATGTGGTAGTTTGGAATGTTATGTTGTGTCGGCATGTTCAAGAATGGGAGGTTGGGCAGATGGTGGACTTATTGAGTTTTTTATATGGGGTGAAGGTTGGGGAGGTGGGGGAGGATGCTTTGGTGTAGTGGGGACCAGATTTGAAAGGTGTTTTTTCGGTTTTATCGTATTATTAGGATCTCTGTGGGGATGTGGAGGGGGAGTTCCCGTGGCACCGTGTTTGTGTTACAAGTGTTCCTTCAAATGTGGTTTTCTTTGTGTGGACCGCAACTTTTGATAGGATTCTTACTATTGATAATTTGATTCATCATCATCATATTTTGGTTAATTAGTATTGTATGTGTTATAGGGATGCAGAGAAAGTGGATCAATTGATTGTTCATTGTCCGGTGGCTTGTCAGCTTTGGGCACTTATTTTCTCTACATTTGGAGTGGTGTGGGTTTAGCTGAAGGGGATGATGGAGGTTCTTTGTAGTTGGGGAGGGGGTCGGGTTGGGAAGAAGCGAAGGAAATCTTTGGCTTTGGCTCCTTTGTGTTTGATGTGGTTGCTTTGGTTCGAGTGGAATTGGCATACTTTTCAAGGAGTTGCTCGGACGTTGTCTTGGCTCGATAGTCGGTTTTTTGGTGTTTTGTGCAATTGGGTGTCGGGGAGGGTGGATCCGAATTTGTTTTATTTTTTGGACTTTGTAGATGACTTGATTGGTTAGGTGTTGCCTTTTTCTTCCGGGTTTTTATTTTTTATTTTTTATTCTTTAGCATCTTCTTGATTCTTTTGGCAATAAATTTTATTTATCAACAAAAAATAAAATAAAATAATAAAATAAAAAAAATTCTATTTGTAGCACATCCTTAAGATCTAACAATTTGAGTGCATCTTCATGTTCAAACTCTCCTTATGGTAGAACCATTTTTTGCATGAGATTTTCTTGCACATCAATTATGGCTTTTGTGTCTTCGACATTTTCTATTTTTTTGGGGTCAAATTCACATCACCTTTCACGTGCTTTGGAATTCTTGGTCAACAATTTTCACTTAATCTTCATAATCTCTTTGAGGAAAACCTTGACCAATGTTGCTTTATCCGAATCATCTACTCTTAACATTTGCTCATTCCAATCTATTATTTGCTTATAACTTTGCCTTATTTCTTGTTGGCTCTGAGTAAAGACTTCAAGCTCTGAATTCAAGTCGGCATTGGTCATCATGTTGAAAGTTAGGACAAAACAAAACAATAAATAGGGGGAAGGAGTTTTTTTTTTTTTTTTCTTTCTTTGTGGTTGTGTCAGGGTGACCCTGTTGTCCGATATGTTACAATGATTCCTATATATAGAAGAGTAGGTGGTAGTAGGTGGTAGGTGGAGTAGGTGAAGTGGAGGTGATAGTGGTGTAGTGGGTTAGGTTTAGTGGAGTAGGTGAGGTGGTAGTGGTGTAGTGGGTGGATTTTAACAGTTAAGATTAATAACAAGTCAGATTATGGGTTAAAAAACTGGGTCTGATCAAGTTTGTTGTATCAGGTAAAGGGCTACACATATAATCTAAGTATATTGTGTCTTCTTCATAGAAGACGGTCGAAGCCCTAGGCTCATGCGATGAACAACTCTAACAAGAATGCACATGCAAAGAACAAGAAGCAAGCAGTGGTACTGAGGATAAAGAGAATAATGAGGTGATGGACAAAGGCTCGGAACATTGATTGTTGCATTTGAATCAGGAGGCTCCATTTGATGGACGAGGTTGTGAAGCTGGCGATGGCCTAACTTCTTTTTTCTTTTTGCATTTTGTTACTGTTCTACTTGCTAGAAAATGAGGTTTGTGGTTTGTTGAATAGTGACGATGCGAAGGTGGTGTTGTGACACTAGATCGAGTGTTTGCTCTAGTACCAAATTAATGTAGAACTAGGAGGTAGAAAGCCCTAATATTTATAGGCTAGAAAACCCTAATGAAAATAGGAAATTGAATCCTAATGTTGTTTGGAAATTTAATTCCTAATAAAATTAGAAACCAATTAATAAACTACATAATTAATTTAAATAAACATAAATATTAAAAAATAAAATTATAAGATTGTAGTGCCAAAAATGGTAAGTGTCTGTTCTGTATTAGGTGAATTTTTCTTTTCTTTTCTTTTCTTTCTTGTACTCGTATTTATTTTATTAGTAAATTATCTTTGTTGCTGATGAAAAAAAGGTATTAGACATATGTTTTACAAATAATAAGATATTGTATATTTATGATGTTTTGTGATGGGACAATGGTAGTTACAATTTTTTTAGTTTATTTCACCGAGTCCAGTGGAAGCGATCTATCTTTTGAGGAGAGTTATAGAAAAGTATAGAGAAAAGAAAAGAGACATTCATATAGGTTTTATCGATCTGGAGAAAGCCTATGATAGAGTGCCTCGGGATATCATCTGGTGGGTGTTGGAGAAGAAAGGGGTGACAAAAGGTTACATTGATGTGATTAGGGATATGTATGAAGGTGCGGTGACCACTATTAGATTGCCTGCTGGAGAGACGAGTGAATTTCCAATTACTGTAGGGTTACACCAAGGATCGACCTTAAGTTCTTATCTTTTCGCTTTAGTTATGGATGAGTTGACGCGCAATATTCAGGATGATGTACCATGGTGTATGCTTTTTGCAGATAATATTTAGGATGATGTACCAATTACTGTAGGGTTACACCAAGGATCGACATTAAGTTCTTATCTTTTCACTTTAGTTATGGATGAGTTGACGCGCAATATTCAGGATGATGTACCATGGTGTATGCTTTTTGCAGATAATATCATGTTAGTGGATGAGACTAGAGAAGGAGTTAACACTAAGTTGGAGATTTGGAGAAAAGCACTTGAATCTAAAGGATTTAGGATAAGCAAAACTAAGGTAGAGTATATGGCGTGTAATTTTAGTAACAGTCACAATGGAAGCAGAGGAAAAGTGTAGATTGAGAATCAAAAACTAACTAAGAGTGAACATTTTCATTATTTAGGATCAATTGTGGCAACGATTGAGGAGATAGGAGCGAATGTGGTCTACAGAATTAAGGCAGGGTGGCTTAAGTGGAGGAGTGTGTTTAGAGTATTGTGCGATAAACGAGTACCCATTAGACTAAGAGGGAAGTTCTATAGAATGACTATTAGACCAATAATGTTGTATGAGACGGAATGTTGGGCAACTAATAAACAACATTTAGATAAGATGAGTGTTGTTGAGACGAGGATGTTGAGGTGGATGTGTGGCAGGATTAGGAAAGACAGAGTTAGGGATGAGTATATTCGAGAATGGGTAGGAGTAGTACCGATAGAAGATAAGTTGACAGAAAATAGATTGAGATGGTTTGGTCATATACAACGGAGACCAACAGAGGTAATAGTGAAGAGATGTGATACAGTGACGGTAGATGGTAGTGTTAGAGGAAGGGGTAGACCTAGATTGACGTGGACTAGTGTAGTGAATAAAGATATGAATCTTCTTAATTTAACTAACGAAATGACATTGGATAGAGTCAAGTGGAGAAGAAGGATTCATGCAACCGATTCCATTTGGTGGGACTTAAGACCTGGTTTGGTTTGGTTTGGATTTCATTGGGTCCAGTGGATTATACGATTAAAATCTCTAATTTGCCCTATGTTGCCCTTTACCTTGCTCGCTTGAGGGTTAGAAGATATCACATGTTCAAAAGTGAGTTTCTTCGTTTGGAATGTGGATGGTTTGGTGCATGGAACGGGAAAGTAATATGTCAATTGCTCTAAAATGTAACACTTTATTATGAGCATTATAACCCATTTTTGATGTTTTGTCTTGTCAAAACTTCACCCACCTTAGATTTTAGTTCATTATATTTGATTACTCCTAAGGAAATCTATAGGAAGTATATTGGAAAAAAATAAAAAATAAAAATTGGGATCTCTTTGTATGGTTAAATCTACATTTTGGAATGAATGTGTACCATGATTCAGAGTGTGTGTTCCAAAATGTGATTCACTAGGGCATTAACATTTTCTGGTAACACTGGTGGAATCTTATCCTCCTCAGCAGAGCGCAACACTCAATAGGGGAGAGGAAGTTTGGTGCTGTAACTTTTGCAAGATATTTTCATTTATGTCTGCTATGTTCTTCCAATTTGTGTTCCTCATCTTCCCTACATTCCTCTTTTTGGATATTCAGTTGTTCTCTCTACATTTGTCAATGTTTGCAGCTAATGCCAAATTGTATTGCTGATACAGTTCCATATTGAAGTTCACTAATTTTAAAATAATTCTTTCATATTTATTTTAATTGGTTTTGGAAAAAATAAAAGAAGTGAAAAACAAATAGTCACTCTTCTTTCATGGAAGTGAGTTGTTACTGTATTTGATCCTACACTAGAATCATCTGACAGAAACACACCGTATTCAGCTTTGGACTTGTATAGTCTGGTCAATTTTACCAAATATGACCAATTCCCTGACCATGTCTTCTTGAGCATGCCAGGAAATCATTAGACATCACAGGGACAAGGTTAACCAACCCATCAATCTGTACACTGTCAAGTCATTGCTATGGCAGTTGCTTAATGGGCTGAACTACCTCCACAGGTAAGGTATATTGTCCCTTCCTGACACTCATACCAGTTGCAGTATCCATATTAACTGACACTAGTATGTATTGGAACATTGATGCAGTAACTGGATCATACATCGAGATCTTAAGCCATCAAATATCTTGGTAGGGTTCTGTCATTGTTGTCATTGTTTGAAGGTTACTTAGAAAATTGTCCTCTTTGACATCTGAATGTGCATATTCTGCCTTGTTTTCATGAACCTCAACGACCAGGTCATGGGTGAGGGAGAAGAGCAAGGAGTCATTAAAATTGCTGATTTTGGACTTGCAAGAATTTACCAAGCTCCCTTGAAGTCATTATCGGAAAATGGGGTACGATGCTTTAGTCATGTTTCCTTTGCTATATTTGCTGGTTTGCTTTTGACTTTATTTCTTTGACGATAAGTACCGTGAATACTCCTGCACCCCAACTGGGACTTCCCTTTGGGAGTGGCCAGAGATGCCAACCATGCTAATAGATGATGTTCCTCATGCTGATTTTTTTTGGGATAGCTTACATCAATTTAATTGATGAGCGCTAATGCTGATGATGTAATACTAATATACCTTGTGATAACATAATTCTCTTTGGCTTACCTATAACCATATTATCCATTTGAAGTGAATATTTGTTCCATGAGGTACTTTTTCTTGTTTACTAAATGTGATATATTTTTCCATATTAACCGTGTAGCTTGCCATGACAGCTTACAATGTGTCTCTGTAGTTTACCTTAAATTTTTAACATGTACGGCTGTGTTTAGCAGTTGAAATATGTCTTCCTTGTTCAACAAAAAATCGTCAATGACGTGTACCAGGAACCGAATAATTGTTACTTGGGCATAGTTCTTCTTTATCCTAATTTTGTTTTATTATACTTACTGGAAGATGAAATGATGTGCTTCATGTGCAATATTTTCTTGGAAACAACATGGGTAGAATCTGGTTTAGATGATTGGAAACTAAGGACAGAGTATTTCGTCTCATATAATTCAAATGAATTGAATCCTTCATGCCATGCTATTGTGATTATCTTCTTTTTCTTTATTTATTGTCTTTTTTGTATAACTTATTTAGTAGTGCCTTTTTTGTCCTTTTTTAATTTATAAAATGAAATGCTTACTAATTGTTTTTTTCTTGTTCCGGTTATAGCATGTGGATTTATCAGAATGTAAGACAATTCATAACATACTCTTTCTAGATTAGGTCACGGCTATAAACAAATGAATTATGTGGTGGCTTTTTCCCATATGATTCTTCCACTTAATCAACTCCACTTTGTAATTCTCATATTCTTTGGCAAATGGTGTGGGTACGGTCATTCTGGCCTGCCATGTAGACCCACCACAGCATTGCCACTATGTTCTCCCTGTAAGAAAGGCGCCAACATGGGCCAACCATAGGCTACAATTCCTCTTGTAGCAAGGATGAGCCGCTTCAGCTCGAGGCAAGCTCACATGGTGCCGTTTACGTCAATAAACTCCCAAGCATTTGACAAAGGAATAATTATTAAGTCCAGACTATCAATAAATAGCATTTTATGTGAAGTGAAAAGAGAAGGAATTAACCACCAAATATGTAAGGAAATATGGAATTCTCATCCCTTCCCAGAGAAAGAGTTGCTGTCTAACATGGGTACTTATTTGAAGTTTCGGTATGCTACAAATGAATTTCCATGCTTTAGATTCTTATTACAATTGCCTCTCTATCTGTGTTTTTTGAACTGGACTATATTTTTACCATGGCCACTCATGTTTTGTGTACTTGGATCATAAAGTTGTATTGTTTATATTGATCCAAGAGTTTCATATGCTACAAGATTTTTATGTGCCAATGACTAATGCAGGTTGTGGTGACGATTTGGTATCGTGCGCCTGAATTACTTCTTGGGGCAAAGCACTACACTAGTGCTGTTGGTATCCTTTGGCATCAGATTCCACATTCTACTCATTAGAAGCATTAGAATCTCTACAATTTATTTTTGTGTTTGTGTCGATCAGCCAAAATGTTATGCTTATTGTTAAATGTACAAAAGAAACGGTACTTCCTTAAAATTGATATTAGACATGTGGGCTGTTGGATGCATTTTTGCTGAGCTTCTGACTCTGAAGCCACTCTTTCAAGGGCAAGAAGTAAAAGCCACACCAAACCCTTTTCAGGTATGAAGTAATTTTTCCTGTGGTTTTCCTTTGTGTCATTTTCTTTCTCAGTACATAACTTTGAAGTCTGATGTTATAGCTATTTATTTTTTTCCCTAATGTAAATTTCTATATCTGCAGCTTGATCAACTTGACAAAATATTTAAGGTCTTAGGTAAGATGGTTCATTTGGTCAGTTTCACCCTTTTCTGAATTTTCTGATCTAAACTGCGGTTGTCCATGGCACCAGGGCACCCCACTCAAGAAAAGTGGCCAACACTTGTGAATCTTCCACATTGGCAATCGGATATGCAACACATTCAAGGGCATAAATAGTGCGTTCCATTCCTTTTATAAAATAAAGAAAAAATCATTTTCCAATCATACTGGTCTCTTAATTTGTATAACCCTTGGTTGTACTTTTCAAGCATACTACTGTCAAATCCTTCATTACCTTTATTACCCTGCCTTGTTTACAATATATCTCTAATTTGTTTCCCCCTTCTTTTTGTCTTTGCTCCTGGCAGTGACAATCCTGGACTTTACAGTGTTGTTCATCTCTCTCCTAAAAATCCTGCATATGATCTCCTCTCAAAGATGTTGGAGTATGTGCCTTTTAGTTTCTGAACTGCATGTTTACTGTTTGGTATAATATTGATAATGATGCAGATGTAGAATGACGGCATCTTTACTTGTCCAAAAAAATAAATAAATAAGAAAAAAAGAAAAAGAATAGATGGTGAGATACTAGAAGTGTCCTTTCCTCTGCTGATTTGCTTTCATCCTTCAGATGCGAATATTCTTTAATTTACATGTGGATTTAGTGACAGTTTGTCAAGAACATTACTATTAGAAATCTTTACCTAATGGTAATGAAAGTGGTTTGGGTCAAAGATGTACACACTGTCTGATGTATGAGTATTTACTGTAGATTCTTGGCCTATGAGGCTGGTCATATTAATTTAGCATAGCACTATTAAATTTCTCTTCATAGAAGAGAGAGAGAGAGAGAGAGAGAGAGAGAGAGAGAGTTTTAAGTATTTCTGGTTCTAGAGCTGTTCAGATCATGGCCAAAAACCTGCAAAATATGTTTTTTCTAAGAATTAACAACTTTTGGTAAGGAAGTATTGAAATACATGAGTTATGATGCTTAAAAAATAGTGCAAGAGAAGACACTGATATTCTACTGTTTGAATCTGTAATTTTTTTTTTTTGGATAATCAAAAACAAAAACTTTATTGATAATTCAAAAAAAGCAAGCGAGGATGAGGCATCCTCTTACAAAAGGACAATGGTAATACAAAAAATACGAAAAAATGAAACCCATAACAAGCTAAACCTAAGCAAAAACTTACATATCACACGCCGCCAACCAATCCCTACCTAACAAAAAAAGTGGGACTCCCTTAAATAAAGAGCTCCCTGACACCCAGAAGGAAGTTAAGGAATCTGTAATTTTATTCTTAAAGAGCTTGCAAATATATGCTCTATTACAACCTTGTTTATAAACTTCTCAGCTTACTTGGGCCTAAAGTTGGCATAAACTTGTATATTTCCAAGTGCATTAGTTTGTTAATAATTTTGACTTGTTACAACTTATATGAACCATACAGAATCATAAAAATAGATTCCTTTCGAGTATGACCCATGAACCCCTTGATGTAGAACAACTATTAAGAAATCTGTGCAATTAACTATTTGTTACTAGAAAACATGTGGAGAATTGATCCAAAAGAAAAATATCAAAAAGTTTCAAGAAGAATAATAAAAGAGAAGAACAAATGGGCCATCGCCCTAATCTCACAAAAATGGCCACAACCTTAATACTTAATATCAATAATTTAAAGGTAAATAATACAATGTAAACCCTAATATTTATAAGTCAAGAAAATAGGAAACCAAATCCTAATAGAATAGGAAAACAAATATTAATAAAACTCCTAACCAAAATAAAACTTTGAACTAAACTATAATTAAAAATTTTAAATAAAAAAAAAGGGCCCAATTAGTATACATTAATGTGTGTTTGGGAGGGGAAAGATTGAGTACACATTTAACCTTTGGCATAATGCACAAAGTGATGGTCCCAAAACTTGAATCCATAACCTCAAAGTTATTAGGCCAAATTTTAAAGGACAAATTATAAAATCTTCATGGTGCACACACATTTCGCATTATTCTCCCCGGTTGCTTAAAAAGAACTCATCCTCAAGTTCCCTTTTTAAGTATTGAACTCGTCCCACACCAGAGAATAAAATACTTCGAATATGTGGTTTGCTTTGTTTTCTTCCTGGGCCACCGACTCCTGGTTCCCAAGGTGTTGACGAGATGCACTAAATACTTAACTTGATTTGCTCTTTGCATCCTGGACTAAATAAGGAAGGAGATATTAGGTACACTACATTCACACTCTGAAGCACATCTCCATGATTTTTACTTTTTTGAAGTTGCACGTACTGCAGTCTGCGTGATTATCAGTATCCATGAGTAGCTAGTTGCATGAAATTAAGTTGATACATTAACCCGTACCATGTGCAAAAATAATTGCTTTAGGCGTATATTTTACTGACATTATAATATATTTGTTATTTTCTTGATCTATCTTTGGAGAAGTTAATCATACCATTGATTCTTAATCAGTGGACAATCCATGGCTTATCTTATTTGCAGATATGATCCTCGAAAGCGCATAACAGCGGCACAAGCTCTTGACCATGAGTATGAGATATGCTCTTGCTTATATTGTGTACATATGCGCATATATATATATTCAAGTTCTTTGATGCTTTACGTGTTTGACAATGGTGCATATTTCTGTTTAAAACATTTTCTTCAATGGAATTTATCCTGTAGTAAGAAATTAATTATGTTACTGATCTTTTGATGCATTTGAAGACACTTTGTATGGTTCAGTATTTTCTTTTTAAAATTAGTTCCTTTCCTATGTTTTATATGGTCTCTTATCATTTCATTCATAAAAGATCAAAAGTAGAAGTTTGCTTTTCTTGCTCAAAGCTATCATTGAGCGGGAAGCTAGGGGATCATTTAGGGTTTATTGGATACCATGTTTCATGGGGTCTAGTAAATTAATTGGGTTCAGGTGCATATCAGGTGTTGGATGTCTATAAACCCACAATATCATGATATGGGGGACTTGGCTTTAGATGTGTCCAAAAGTTGGGTACATGTGCATGCGCAAGTTTGAAAAACAATAAAGATTTATAGGAGTTAGTGTTACATTGCGTTTTGCAATTATTTTTGAATGATATATTCATTTATATGACATATAACAAATATATAAAATTATATATTTTGTGTATATCCTCCACGTGTCATGTCCGGTATTTTTTTAAAATTGTTGTGTCATTATGTGAGAGTTGTGTTGCTTGTCCATGTCTTTGGTTATTAGCTAAATATCAATTTATCTGCCTCATCTATGAACCAGTGCATTTTGATCCATCAGCTATAAAAATACATCACTTTCACGCCTTCTAGAAGCGGGAATTTGTACGATTTTTATATTTGAGTGAGTCAAATTGTCCTGGTTCACAGGTGACTTGAGTAAATTGAAATTCGCTAATAGCTGAAGGGCTCTTGGTGTAATTAACCCTTTCAATTATTACTTCAAAGTTTGTCATTCATGAATATGCAATTTGGACAGTGTAATGTATACTCAATCTTTGCTGGTTCAGTAATCACTGAAATTTTCTCTGTACTACTTTCCATTTCTTTATTCCTTTTGTTATGTACTATGGGCTGAACATACCAAGTTTTCTCCTTAGGTACTTTCGGCTTGAACCACTTCCAGGACGCAAGTAAGTATTTTCCCCTATTTAGATGCATGTTTTAAAAGAATTTTACTGTTTTGTTGCATATGTCCAAATTTATTTATTTATCTTTCACGCATAGTGCATGAAAATAGAAGAATGTGTTAGTAGTTTTACTGGTAGAGCATATATTCCCTCCTTATTTCCTTGAATTTGACTAAGGTAAATGTAACATCAATGCTCAGTGCACTCGTACCTTCCCAACCTGGAGAGAAAGTTGTAAATTATCCTACTCGACCGGTTGATACGACGACGGATTTTGAAGGAACGACTAGTCTTCAATCTTCGCAGCCGGTATGCATCCATGATTTTGAACCTTTTTTACTGCAATAACAATTTGAAGCTTTATGAAGTTCAAATTAATTTTTGTTTGCCTTTGGTGAATTTGAAAGGCAAAACTGTAGTTATCTTCTATTATGAATGAACAACAATTTTTTTAAGATTAGATTTTTGGCTTGCTAACCCAACTCATGGTTGCTTAGAACATCATGTAACCAGCTGTGACCACTGAAAAATTAGAGCCAACTCTTTATGAATAATGATGAGATTTCATGTCTCACAAATTCATGTATTAGTGAAAAGTTACCAGATCCACTCCACCATCTCTTACTCTAATAATTTTCTTCTCCAATTGTGTCACCATGTACATATATATATATGTATATATGTGGGTGTGTGGGTGTGTGATGGGTCAATCAAGAACTAGAGAGAGAGGAACTTAGAGAGAGATATTAGAGAGAGAAATTCTCAATTCAATTCAAATTCAATATATCCAAGTTGGTTACAAGTGATGTGGTACTCCTCTATTTATAGGATACACTATCTAACACATGCTATGCACATGACACTACATCATACTCCCCTTCTTAAGAAAAGACTTGTCCTCAAGTGAAGACAACAAAATACAACCAATACTAGAAATGAAAGGCACAGAAACCAAAGTACAAGATGACAACTTTTCAAGGAATTATTTTACAAGGGTAGAGGTATCGTCAATGGAAGAGGCATCCGGAAAGCAGGGTACAAGATGTTGCACGTTAAAGGTATTGGAGATGCCTAAATGAGGTGGTAGCTTGACGTTATAAGCATTGTCGTTAATCTTCTGCAAGACCTCACAAGGTCCCACCTTCTTGTCACTCAACTTAGTGTAGGTGCCATATGGGGATATCTCTCTTTGCTCAATACCACCCACACAGGATCCCCTACTTCAAACACAACTCTTCGCTTATGCACATCACCGGTCGCCTTATACTTTGCATTAGACTTTTCAATTTGGGCCCTCACTTGAGAATGAACGCTCTTCATGAACATAACCATCTCCTCCGCCTTAATGCGTCCTCTCCTTGAGAGTGGCAAAGGCACCAAATCTGCCACACTTGAAGGCCTTGTCCCATAAACTACTTAAAAGGGAGAAGTATTTATGGTGCGGTTGATAGATGAATTGTAAGCAAATTCAGCCAAAGGAAGGATGCCATCCCAATTCTTGGGGTGATCCCCCACAAGGCACTGCAACAAGTTGCCAAGACTACGGTTCACTACGTCTGTTTGACCATCGGTTTACGGATGGAATGTAGTACTAAAACTCAAGTCCGTACCGATTTTCCTCCACAAAGTTCTCCAAAAGTGAGCAAGGAACTTAGTATCTCTATCGGACACAACAGAAGTAGGCACCCCAGGCAACTTGTAGACTTCCTTGAAAAAGAGATTAGCAATGTTTGTAGTATCCATGATCTTCTTGCAAGGTTTGAAATGTGCCATCTTGGAGAAACGGTCCACCACTCCCATGATAGAATCACTCCGTCTTTGAGTAGGTGGGAGGCCTAACACAAAGTCCATACTAATGCACCTCCAAGGAGCATCCGGCACTAGCAAAGGTAGATATAGTCCTGCATTAGTGGCAGTCCCCTTGCTCCTTTGACAAATTTGACAACGGTTCACATGACTTTGCACATCCTTGGTCATGCCGAGCCAATAATAAGCATCTTGAAGCAACCCAAGGGTCTTGTCCTTACCAAAATACCCCATCTTATGATGCTCAACCAACAAATGTGTCCTCAAGGAACAATTAGGAACACACAACTTAAGTTCATGGAAGAGGAATCCATCCCCTATCATGTAACTTAAATAAGCCATTCTATCCCCCTTCGCAAAGCATCAAAGATCTTGGAAAAGTAAGGATCACTTGCATAGAATGTGTGAAATTCATCAAAACCCACAACTTCATTTTTCATTTCAGTCAAGAGAGCCATTCGCCTACTCAACCCTTGGCGTATGTGTGTGATTGTAATCTTGATTGCACGGCTATCCACACACATACGCCAAGCGCTGGAACACCACAAGGACTAAGGCTAGGCCGGATATACCCTTTAGCCAAAAGCTCTTCCACGTGCCATTGCAATTCCTCTTTCTCCTTTGGAGACATGCGATAGGCCGGATTGTTTGGAAGTGTCGACCCGGGTACCAAATCAATACGATGTTGAATGTCACGCATAGGAGGTAAATCGGGAGAAAGCTCTTGGGGAAAGACATTGGAATACTTTTCCAAAAGAGTAGCCACCGTAACCTTGTCTTTAGAAGCACCCGTGTGTACAACCGGAACCAACTCCAATACAATCCAAAATCCTGACTCTACTCCACAAACTCCTTGGAAGCAAGCAACGTAGTGGCACTAGGAGATGGCTTGGAAACATCCTTGTAAGTAACTTTTTCCTTCATTGGAAGCAAGGTAAACCGGATATCATCCTTGACAACGGTGTAAGTGTTCCATTTGCCATCATGCAAAGATTGCCGGTCATATTGCCAAGGTCGCCCAAGTAGAATCTGACAAGCATCCATAGGCACTATATCACACCATGACTCATCAAAGTATTTTTGCCGGATAGAAAATGAAACCAAGCACCGTTTGGTAACCTTGATCTCATTGCCTTTCTTGAACCAAGATAGAGAATAAGGATATGGATGTTCCTCCACCGAAATATTGAGTTTGTCCACCATTTCTTGAGAAACTACGCTCTCACAACTTCCACTATCAACGATCATGTTATAAACACGGCCACCGATGTTGCAAGTGGAATAAAAGATATTAGTACGCAACCAATCTTCTTGGCTCTCTAGTTTTGGTGAGAGAAGAGTCTTCTTCAACATAAGAGCAAGACCCTCTTCTTCATCACTATCTCCACCAATTGCCACATTACCCGAAGGATCAAAGATTGGAGCATCTTCAAAGTCACCATGCTCCTCAACTTCTTCAATGAGAAGTGCCTTGTTCCTATTATTACCCATGTTCTTCTGGCAATCGGACGATCTATGCCCCGGTTCACCACACATAAAGCATTTGAATGTTCCACCTTGTGGTGGATTTTAGTTTCCAGAAGCACCATTAGGACGAGGAGCTTGAGAGGAGGAAGCACCCTTATCCACAAACTTGGAAGGAGGAGGAGCGTTGGCAAAGCTAGGAGTGGAAGGACCTGGCCTAAAACCACCTCGAAACCCTCCTTGGAAGTATTGTCCTATTTGGGAAGCGCGACGGCTTTGTTGCTTCTCCACGGCTAAGGCCCGATTATAAGCTTCGGAAACACTATATAATGTGTGCAAGGCAAGAACATCTTGGATGGAAGATTTCAAGCCGCTCACATAACGGACCACCCGTTGCTCCTCACTTTCACTTAAATCAACTCGTGCAATGAGTTGATAAAAGGCTTCCGTGTATTCATTCACACTACCATCTTGCTTGAGAACATGAAGGTGTTGATAAACACTTTGAAGGTCGTTGAATGGTAGAAAATGGCCTTTCAACTTGTTTTTCATTTTCTCCCAATCATGGATTTTGCCTTCCCACATCGGCGGCGGTTGAGTTGAAGTTGTTCCTACCAAGCGGAAGCTCTCCTTTTCAACCAAATAGCCACAAGCTTAACTTTCTTTTCATTGGAGACCTCTCCATAGTCAAAGATCCGCTCAATGGTGTTGAGCCAATCGATGAATGCATCGGGATTGAGGCTTCCATGAAATTTGGGAAGTTTAATCTTGATATTGTTCTCCCATTTGTGTTCCATCCTACCTACATCCGTTCAACGCCTTCGTGCAGCCCAAAAGATATTATCAAAAGAATGATGAGTACCACCTTCAGTATTATCAGAACCATCACTACCATCGGTAGAAGGAGGAAGGAGACGTTGCACCGTCTCGGTTAGAATGGCGATTTGCCATCTCATCTCTTGGATACGGAATCCCATTACCCTCGAACCATCACCCAAATTCGGGGCATAACCCCTACCACGACCACCCCTACGACCTCAACCCCGATTAGCCATAACAACAACCCAGTATGTTTCCAAAATAGTCCAGATATACAGATTTCAGATAGCACAATTCCAGACCCAATTCACAAATTAGGACAATTCAGTGTAACTACCAACTCATAGCAGTATGAAGTATCAAATATTTAAGAATCAACAAGAAGACAATAATATCAAGAATTGGGAACCTAGTCTTTATAATAGAATTTGAACAGCCTAAGAAGTGAAATAGGTGATCGAATTACCTCAATCAGATGCAGAACCAAAACAGTCCCCTTGTGAAGAACCTCTGCTTCAGTCTTGCGAAGATGACCAGAAATCTCCTTCGACCAGACACAGTTGTGGTGATCAGACACAGTTATGACGATTCACGATGACTGAACAAATCACGAAGTCGAACCAGGTGCGATGCTCGATTTGTGAAATCAAATCACAATGGTCTTCGCAGACTCTATTGTCGAACAAGAGTGTCGAAGATCGAAGGTCTTCTCTCACAAAATCAGGTTGCGATGTTGATTCCAGCCCAAACCAAGATATTAACTGTGTGTCGAATTCAAACTCGATTTCTCCACTAGGGTTCCTGCAGATTCATTATTTGTAGATTGCAGATCAAAACACTCCTTCAAGTTGCGAAATCAACGGCTTCGAATTAGGTACGTAGGTCCTTGTGTAGAGTTAGATGATGAACCAACCAGATTTGATATCCAAACCTTTGCTCTAATACCAAAATATGATGGGTCAATCAAGAACTAGAGAGGAACTTAGAGAGTGAGATTAGAGAGAGAAATTCTCAATTCAATTCAAATTCAATATATCCAAGTCAGTTACAAGTGATGTGGTACTCCTCTATTTATAGGATACACTATCTAACACATACTATGCACACGACACTACATCAGTGTGTGTATTTGGTTATAGCTTTATATGTGATTAACTTAGAAATTAAAGTAAAAAATGAGGAGAATTCAAATTTAATTTTTCACTTAACTTGTTTAAATAGAAATTAGGATACATTTTCACAAAAACATTATAACTTTAAGAAGACAAAGAGGGTATGTTATGAACATCATTCTATAGTCATTAACAAAGTTAGGGTAACGTTGTAGTCCAAAATCACATGAGGGGTCTTTGGTTTATTTTTAAATGTGAGGGAGGTGAAATGCTCAAGAGCCATACCATAAGGGGGTAAAATGGATTTTGCCCATGATAACAATTGCTCACGTATAGATGTTCTCCAGTCGCTTATGAAATGCAATGCATTTGCCACTCTTCCTTTGAATCCAAAAATAAAACAAAAATAGTTGAGAGGCATTGAACTTATAAATTTTGTCAAGGTGATATCACCATACTAGTGTTTTACTTCTTCATAAACTTGAAATTTCTGAGCAACAAATTAACCTTCCATGTGTTGTAAGAAGCTTGGATTTGGGAATTACACAAGAATATGCCAACCCAAAAAATCAGCTCATGGATTTTGTAGGGACATTTAGAGAAATGAGTGCATTTGTTCATAAATTTATGAAGGTTATAATAAATTATTCAGTTTCTGTGTAATAAGTTGGATAGGAAATGGGAACCATAAACCCTAATGTCCATTACAAAATTACCAAGTATTCACATATAAGTGAAAGTTGTTAATTTAAAATGCCTAAAGGAGAAATTAATTGGTATATTTTAACAATCAAAGTTTAGTAATAGAGCATTTTAATTGAGGTCTTATCATCAGTTGATAATAGGGAGGATGAGGAGTTCTTTTTCTTCGAAGTTTATATGGAAGGCAGGGTTGCCTACAAATGGAGCATCTTTTTTTATTTTTGGACTGCTGCTCTTGACTGCATCCTTACTTGTTACTTAATGGAGTTTGCTTCTAGCTCTCCTTACCCGTGACAACTTCTATCTCTTGTTTATGACATTTGACATGCACAAGTCAATAAATAAGAATGATCTTTTTTGCCCAATTTAAGATTATGTGGCCTATATTTGCTGATCATGATCCCGGCATATATGAACAACACTGATCCTTATACTTGTTTGCTTGAGAAAAGAGGATTTGTTTTTTTTCAAGTTGAAAGTGCATTCTCTTGCATTATGTACACTCATATTTTGGTTGATTTGACCAGGTATCATCTGGGAATGCAGTTTCCGGGAGCATGGCAGCCCATGCAGTGCCAAATAGAGCTGTACCTCGGCCAATGCCAGTGGTTGGCATGCCAAGGTTGCAACCTCAGGGCATGGTGGCTGCTTATAATCTGACTGCCCAGGCTGGGATGGGTGGTATGAATCCTGGCAGCATCCCGATGCAGCGGGGTGTCGCTGCACAGGTTCATCAGCAGCAGCAGGTTTTCTCTATATATTGTCCAAGCTTGTTCTATTGTTGTGGAGGTCATTGTTCCTTTTTTTCTGATGCATATCCCATTATTTGGAAATAGATGAGAAGGAAAGACCCAGGAATGGGGATGCCTGGATACCCTCCTCAACAGAAGTCGAGACGCTTTTGAGGTAATACTGCTCTTACAATCCCTTTACTGATGCATCAATCCAATCATCTGGGACAATATTCTTGGAAACTGCTTTATTCATTCTTTTTAATAAGAGGATAATGGCAGTAAATAACCGGTGTTATTTTCATATTAACAGCAAACTCTCTCCCACAGCTAATGCTATAAACTCTCTTCATGAAATATGCATATATAACCTTTGTTATCAGAGTCTTACGATTCGCGATTCGATTTTATAAAATCGATATGAATCTATGGGTGAATCTATTTTTGAAGTGAATCTATGGTGAATTGCATGATTCACGATTCGATTCACCTTTTACGTTTTATGCAATTTTTGAAATTATTGTGTCCAACATATTTCAATTCTTTTTTTCTCTCTCTTTTTTTTTATAGTGAAAATGACATAAATATAACTTCTAATAGTGTTTAGTACGAAAATAACCAATATGTATACATGGTTTGTTGTTATTTTGGTGATCATGTTGTTTTTAATACTCAGATTAATCAAACCCAACATGTTTTTAATATCTCTCTCTTTTTCTTTTCTTTTTTTTTCTTTTCATTTTTTTAGATGTTCAAGGTTAAAATAACTTGCACCATAAATTATCTATTGCTAATTTATTGAAATAAATATAGTTCAATATTATATGAGTGAGCATAGTTAAACCTAATAGTTAAACCTAAAAGTTCAACGAGTTTTTTATTTTTTAATTAAAATAAAATAACATTTTTGAATAAAGGATTTGAACTAGGCCTCGTCGGCGAATTCTGTTCCTCGGTGGTTGGTCTTTTGAACTGAATGAGTCATCGGTAGACTCGATTGGGCGTCGTAGTTTATCGATCGTAGAGCGGGGGTAGGGGTTCAGAAGTGCGGTAGTGTTGATTGGCCAAGAAGCGAGATGGATTGTGGCAAAAATGTGGGCAGCCTCACGAGCACCAGAAGTTCTCAAATTTCTGAGTCGACTTAGTGGGGGCAACCGCAGTGTAGCAGTTTGGGTTTGAGGGAGGAAGGAGGTATTTCTTCGTTTCAAATAGTGGTGACGGTAGGGAGCCGGAGGGAACAAATTTTCATCCCAATGTCAAAATTTGGAGGTGGGTGGGGGGATGTCGCTCTGGTTATTGAAGGGTTTGGGTTTGGGTTAGGGAATGGATGGGTGAGGCACCCTGGTGGATTGAAGGGGAAAGGTGCTACCCACTTCTGGGCCAGAAGTGATGTCAAATCATGGTGTGGCTGGAGGGGTCAAGGCAGTTCACACGACGGTGGTAGCGGACTGGTTTCGTATGTTGGATCGATCGCTGGTGGGCCAACTACGGGAGATGGGTGGCAAAGGGACCAGCTTCACGGCTATCTCAAACTAGGTTAGTTGGTGGTGGAAGCTTTCGGGGAAGGTGGAGGTGTGACCCATCGGAGATCAGGTTTTCTTGTTTGTTCTGCCAACTAGAGGTGAGGCGGAGGAGTTATTACGGCGGCGATGGACCATCGGTGGTCCTGATCTGATTTTGGAATGGTGGACGCCTCTGGTGCGTTGTGCTTCGAGCAACACGTCATCGTTGGAAAAAGGGGTTTGGATCCAAGTGGTGGGCTTGCCATATCATCTTCGTGGGGAGGAGGTTTACCGTCAAATCGGCAATTAGTGTGGCGGTTGTGGAGGCTAACGAGTCACCAGAGGATTTGGGCTCTATTTGGCTGTGTGTTAGGTATTCGGTGAACACACCATCGCAAATCTCCATCTGATGGGGGTTGTGGAATTACTCGTTGCCGGTCTGCGTGGAGGAAGGGCTGACAGTGGAGCCAATGGTGCTACCGGTTGTGGCGGGTGCAGATCTTCGACTGGGAAAGGAAGGCCGTGAGTCACGGTGATCGAATCGAAGAATCCTAGAGATTTTGGGGGTGAAGGAATATTTGCAAAAATTTGAGAGATTGTATATAGGGGCCGTTAATTTCGGCCTCTGGTCTAGTTGGGGCGTGGAGTGGGCTTAAAAGGGGGCTTTAAGTCCAGACAAGTGGGCCTTGCTAAGGCCCAAACAAACATGTCTTATCTAGTGGGCAAGCAATGGCGGGCCACCACAGAAATTAGGGGTAGGCAACGGTTTATCCGATCCGCACAATCCACCCAAATTGACCCTACCTGCACAAATCCGACCCTACCCGCGCACATAAATAGGGCAGATGCAGGTCTATTTTTCTGCCCAAAATCGAGTTCGGGTTAGACCCGACCCTACTCGTACAGATCTGTATCCGCCCGCAAATTATGTTTAAATTAAATATAAAAAAAAATTCTCCACTCAAAGATTTTTTTTTGTTTTGAACAGAACTCACTCCTAGATTGATAAAAAAAAATCCTCTTTGGTCCTCCTCTCTCTCTCTCCCCAACTCTCTCTCTCATCTCGCCATTGTCTTTCTTTCTCTTTCTCATCTCACCTAACTCTCTCCTCTCCTTCCCATCGCCGTCACCACCACCATCTCTCGCCTCCTTACTTGCGGTCTCTTTCCTCTCGCCGTGACGCCGTCGTCTCTTACAGATCAACCCCTGCTCCTTGTCGTTTCCCACCGCCGTCCCCTTCTTTTCTCCCTGTTGCCATTGCCGATCACAAACCAAATCTGGAGATTTCTAGATTTGGAAGATGTAGAAATTGCACAAAAAAGCTTCGCTGACTTGATTGTGGGTTTGCTGATCTTATTTATGTTTTGCTTTATGTTTTTTTTTTGGGAGGGGGGGTGCAAAAGCATATCTCAAAAAGCCCAAGAATAAAATTTTTCAAAAAAAAAAAAAAATTAAAAATCCAATTTACAAACCACCCACACATCTGCACTACCCACCCGTACAACCCGCAATCCGCATTCCGGGCGGACGCGGTTTCATTTTTTCCTAACCCGCACCCAATCGGGCAGGTCCAACCCGCCACCCGAACCGCGCATAACTGATCCGTAGACGCCCCTAACATAATTGAATGCTAAATTGGGCCTGGGAAGTGTGGATTGTGAGATGGGTCACTTGGGGTGGGTGTTAGCCCAACCCAACCCAGAGGAGAGTGTTTCAGGCGAACCCAGTCAAACCAACCCGAAGCTTAGTCGGGTTTTCGCCTCACTCCGCGACGGAGTGTTGGCGGAGAAGACGGGAGTTCATAGGAGGGACGTCGACAGACGACTAGTGGGCCCATAGCAGTCGACTTTCTCTGCCGATGCTGGTTCTCCTTCTCACTATGTTGGTTCCATGGCACATGAGCGCTACGCGGAGGAGGGTTCTTAGGGCAGGCGATAGGCAGTGGAGACGAATGACGAAGCTTGCTGGGCTGATATAATAGACGAGATGGCCTTGGTCTGACATGACGTAGTCTGTAACAAGGCAGCTGGGAAGGATGTCGTGGATGAGGATGTTGATTCAGTGATAGAAACTGAGTTTCAGGGGGATGGATACCTAAGTACAGAGGAGGTTTTAGAATGGGTCCTCTCTCATATTAATGAGGTTAGCCAATTTTTGGAGGTTCCTTTCGAAGGGCACGAGAATGAGGCTGAAATTATTTTCAGCTATAGAGGAGTCATGGCGAGACGGTGCTCCTATACGGGAAGTGCTGAAGCTTGTGAAACACAATGGGAATAGTGTTAGGGAATAAAGGAAACTAGAGTGCTCCATAAATTATGATCGAAGGATGGGGATGGGCAGGGGTGCTAAAAAGGGCCGCGGAAACCAATTGTTGTTGCAATGCAGTTAAAGATTTTGACTTGGAATGTGCGGGGTTTGAATGATAGGGGAAAGAGGGTGTTAGTAAAATCGGTGCTCAAAAGTGCAGGGCAGATGTGGTGTGCCTTTAGGAGACCAAGATGGAGTGTCTGGAGGGAGAAGATAGTTAGGGAGTTGTGGGGTGGTTAGCTTGTGGATTGGGCTTTTTTGCCGGCTTTAGGAGTGGCAGGGGGAGTTCTTCTTTGTTGGGATAGGAGGGCGGTGGTGAAGGAGGAGGAAGAGGTGGGGGGTCTCGCGATCTCGTCTATTTTGGTGTGTCGAGGATGACTTTCGTTGGGCCTTCACAGGGGTATTTAGGCCCGTTCATGGCAGGGAGCAACTGAGCTTTTGGGAGTAGTTGCAGTGTATTGCCTTTCGGTGGGGGATTCCATGGTGTGTAGGTAGTGATTTCAATGTGGTAAGGAGTACGGAGGAGAAGTTAGGGGTCAGTTCGGTGGTGAGTTCTATGCTGGCATTTTCTTCATTTATTGATGAGATGGAGCTGGTGGATTTACCATTGCAGGGTGGTCGCTATATGTGGTCTGGGGGTGGAGCGATGTCTCGGCTTGATAGATTCTTGGTAACAGGGGAGTGGGAGGAGCATTTCTCACAGGTGACTCAACTCTATTTGCCACGGCCAGTATCAGATCATTGGCCAATCTTATTGGATAGTGGGGGAATCAGGAGTGTACCGGCGTCGTTTCGGTTTGAGAGTATGTGGTTGTTATCTGAGGGTTTTACGGAGCGGGTGAAGGGTTGGTGGGAAAGCTATTTTGTTTCAGGCTTGCCAAGTTGTCGTCTAGCACAGAAACTCAAACTTCTCAAGTCCGATCTGAAGCAATGGAATAGGGAAGTGTTCGGCCGCCTGAAGGCTCAAAAGGCATCTGTGTTAGCTGTGTTGCAAGAGCTGGATACAATAGAGACAGCGGGGGGATTGTCTGTGGCAGATTTGGCTCGTCGGGAGAGGGTTCAAGTGGAGTTTGCTCAGGTTGCCCGATTAGAGGAGATTAGCTTCCAACAGAAATCTAGATGCTTGTGACTGAAGGATGGGGATCACAATACTAAGTTTTTCCATCGTATGGCAAATGCTCATCGTAGGGTGAATCAGATAGGCCGATTGCGAGTGAATGGTGTGGAGCTGTCATCTTTCGAGGAGATTAAGGCAGGTATATTGGGTTTCTATGAGCATTTATTTCGGGATGAGGGGGAGGTGTGGAGACCGGGCCTGGATGATGTTATGTTCGATGTTATTTCAGAGGCAGATAGTTGTTTGCTGGAACGGCTTTTTGCAGAAGATGAGGTGTTTGAGGCTTTACGGAGTATGCTTGGTGGTAAGGCGTTTGGACCATACGGTTTTTCGCTAGCCTTTTTTCAGCAATGTTGGGGGGTGGTGAAGGCAGTTGTCATGGCCATGTTTGAGCAGTTTCATTAGACAGGGGAATTTGAGTGCAGCCTCAATGCCATGTTTATTGCTTTGATTCCCAAGAAGGGTAGGGCTGCGGATATTCGGGACTTTCGGCCTATCAGTCTTTTGGGTAGTGTGTATAAGTCTTTGGCAAAAGTGTTGGCGAATTGATTACGTGGTGTGTTAGAAGTGGTGGTCTCTAAGTCTTAGAATGCTTTTGTGGTTGGTCGCTAAATTTTGGATGTGGTCCTACTGGCAAATGAATGTGTGGATCCTAGAATTCGGTAGGGCCAGGAGGGGCTTATTTGTAAACTCGATATAGAGAAGGCATATGATAATGTCAATTGGAAGGTTTTACTGTATATGTTGCACATATTAGGTTTCAGGGATCGATGGAGGAAGTGGATTCAATTTTATATCTCCATAGTGCGGATGTCGGTTCTCGTTAATGGGCCTTCAGCGGGTTTCTTTCCTACTTACAGAGGGCTATGACAAGGGAATCCGTTATCTCCTTTGTTGTTCATCTTGGTGATGGAGGCGCTGGGGCAGTTGTTATCTAGGGCGGTGCAGGGAGGTCTGTTGCAGGGGTTTAACATGGGAGTGGATCTTGCAGTTTTGACGGTTTTCTATTTGTTTTATGCGAATGATGCACTTATTTTTTGTGGAGCAAAAGTTGCTCAGATTGGCCATTTGAGATTTGTATTGTTGTGTTTTGAGGCAGTTTTGGGCCTTCGAGTGAACCTGGCCAAGTTGGAATTGATTCTAGTGGGCGAGGTGGCATAGATGCCGGTGTTGGCAGCTATTCTGGGGTGTAAGGTGGCGTCTTTGCCAGTTTCATATCTGGGGTTACCTCTAGGGGCATCCTTCAAGACTAAGGGAGTATGGGACGAGGTGGTGGATCAGGTGTAGCGACGGTTGTCAGGATGGAAACGGCAGTACTTATCTAAAGGTGGCAGACTCGCATTGCTTATCCAGCATCCTAGCTTATTTTATGTCTGTTCATGTGATCCCAGTGTTAGTGGCGAAGCGGATTGAGAAGTTGCAGAGGGACTTCCTTTAGGGTAATGGGGGGAAACTTCCTCGGAGGGGGGGGAGGGTTCTTATCATTTGGTGGCTTGGGATCGGATTTGTAATCCCAAGGTAAATGAGGGTTCAAGGATTCAGAGGCTGGCCATGTTTAATGTGGCTTTGTTGGGGAAGTGGTTGTGGTGTTTTGTGGAGGACAGCACCCGTCTTTGGAGGAGGGTGGTGGTAGTAAAGCTTGGTGAGGGAGGGGAGGGTGGTGTTCAGGGCGGGTGGGGTAGTCCCATGGTCTGTGGAAAGGGATTTGGTTGGGATGGGAGGAGTTTTGGAGGAGGGTTAAGCTGAAGGTAGGAGTGGGGGATAGAGTTTGGTTTTGGTAGGATAGGTGGTGTGGTGACCTTACCTTTGATTTTTGGTATTGTTGCTGATACGGAGGTGATGGTAGGTGGTGTGCGGTTTGGGCACTGGGACTCGACTGTTTGAAATTTGCATTTGCGCCGCAATGTACAGGATTGAGAGCAAGATCAGCTAATGGAGCTGTTAGGTTTTTCATATGAGTTGCATGTTGGGGAGGTTGGGCAGGATTCTTTGGTGTGGGATTGCCCTAGGGCTAAGGGGAAGTTTTCTGTATCCTCGTATTATGGTGTGCTTGTTCATGAGGAGGCTATTGTATTCCCTTGAAGATGTGTTTGGGTGTCAGGTACGCTGTCCAAGGTGGCCTTTTTTGTGTGGGCGGCCATGTTGGGATGTATCTTGACCTTGGATAATTTGATTCGCCGTGGCCACAAATTGGTCAATTGGTGTTGTTTATGTTGTGATGCGGAGTCGGTGGACCATTTGCTGGTTTATTGTCCGGTCGCTTCCTGACTTTGGATGCTTGTTCTTGCAACCTTTGGCTTGGTTTGGGTGCAACCGCATTCAGTTAAGGCAGTTCTGCAAAGCTAGGCTAGGGGTCGAGTTGGGAGGAGGCGTTAGAAGGCGTGGATGCTCGCTTCTCATTGTCTTGTGTGGTGGGTGTGGTTGGAGTGTAATACGCGTGTTTTCCAAAGGCTATCTCATTCGGTTCCTTGGTTAAAAAGATGCCTTCTTACGGTTTTGTATAATTGGGTGACACGCTTGGTTAATCCTAATGTTTTGGCTTTTTTAGATTTTGTGGAGAATTTGATTTGTTAATTCCTTGAGCCTTGGTGGCTTTCAATTTTGTATCTTTTTGCATCTTCTTGATGCTTTTTAATAAAGTTTGGTTATTTATCAAAAATAAATAAAAATAAATAAAGGATTTGAATTAATTCATTCTTATTATTAGGTCATTGTTACTAGGTTTGCATGGGTGCTTATTGTCCAAATATCAATATCATTGTTAAATCATTGTTACTTTGCAATTGAGAGTTTGCCTTTGTTTACTTTCTTTATTAAGAATAGTTGATATGCAATATCTAAAAAAGAAAAAAGGGATGATGGTGATGCTACATGGGAATCTATGTTAACTACTTACTTTTTAGACCACATAATTATCATTTAAAATAATATTTTCATTGATTTAAGTCTAAATATTTCATATTTATAAGATATATTTCCGAAATTTCATTGTTTTGAAATTTTATTGCATTTTTTTTTATTAATTTAAATTTGGTGTTGTTTGTATATATTTATAATTATAATTTTGGATTTATCGATTTAGTGCATAATGAAATCTATTGGTGTGATATTTCACAAAGAAATTCCTTTGTGAAATATGTTACATTATTGAGGATTGGATGCAATTTAGTTACTGAATTAAATTATAGCAAAATTTCATTGTGTAATTTTGGACAGATAAATTTTTGTGTTATATATTGTATTAGGGTGGCTAATTGATTATGTACAAATTTAATTTGTTGGTTCACAGTTGAATTTTGGACAGACATTTCTCTGTGCTAAATATTGTATTAGGGTGGTTGATTGTGCACGCATTTAATTTGTTGGTTCTCAGTGGAATTATGGACTAAGATGTTTCTATGTCGTATATATTATATTAGGGTAGATAATTGTGCTGGCATTTTATTTATTGTTTGATTTGGAATGCATTGAATTCCTTGTGCAATGTTGCACAGTGTGCTTTGTCTATTGAAGAGACTATATTATTGTCTATTGGTTTCACACTATATTTATTTGTGATATATCTGTTTAGTTAACTATTTTTTATGTTATTTTATTTTATTTTATATATTTTTTTTCCAGGTCCGATGGACAGTGCACTTTTGTTATGCAAGTATGGGATTTTCAGTGCAATTATAAAGGTATCATGTGCGCATTCACATTTAGGGAAAAGGAACAAGAAAAAAAACCTTGGAAATTTGGATCCATTTTCTATTTATATTCTCTTCTGGGACATCCATACTGCATTTTCCAAAAATGAATATGATTTCCAAAACATATATAGTGTGCACTTGGTCTAGATGTTGATGTTTTTGCTTTTGGAGAAAGTAAGAGTGATGATAATGATGAGTTAGTCTAATTGTTCGGAAATTGTCAATGTTGAAGGAAATAAGGATGGAATTATTTAAAATAGTCCACTTTCTAAGTTTTCTCATGATCAGTACGTGATAACTACAATACATATTTCATTGTTGCTGATAATATATAAATTCTGTGTTTAGAATTCAGGTAAAAAAATCTCTAATTCAAATGAAATTTCAATTACTGATTGATTGAATTCAATTAAATTTCGTTAAGTTCATTGAAATTTAATCAACTTATTTCAGTGAATCAGTGACATTTTACTGAAATTTCTCCAACTTTAGTAAAATTAATCAACTTATTTCAGTGAATCAGTGACATTTTACTGAAATTTCTCCAACTTTAGTAAAATTTTACTGCATAATTATTGAATTCAATGAAATTTAAGTGAAAATTTCATCTTCTTCAAATTTGATAGGCTCTATTGAGAGACATTGGAAACTCTTCTGCAGCATCTTCATCCATGATTGTTGATTGCTCATAAAAGCAGTACAATCAATCAAAATTTAAATGTAAGTATTAGAAACTTAAATTTAAGTGAAAATTTCACTGAATTTAGTGAAATTTCATTTAATTCAGTGAAATTTGACTTTATTTGGGTGTGACTAAAAAATTCTTTGTTTTCTGACTTCAATGAAAATTTATTGAGTTTAATGGACAGTGAAAACTAAATATTGACAAACATTTGAAATTCAATGTGTTTTTATCGATTAAAAACTAAAATAATCCTTATCGTGATCATTATTTGTTATTTTAATGACTTGGTTTGCTTTTCATCTTCTTCTTCAATTTTGATAGGCTCTATTGAGAGACATTGGAAACTCTTCTGCAGCATCTTCATCCATGATTGTTGATTGCTCATAAAAGCAGTACAATCAATCAAAATTTAAATGTAAGTATTAGAAACAAAGAAATTTCATTGTGATTACTTTTTGAGTATTGTAAATCAAACAATGTTTACCAGTGCTGCAATAATATATCTCGTAACCTTTTTTTGTAGTCTTGCCGATTGATCACAACAATGTACTTTGTATTGCATGTAAACTCATCCAATCGCGTTTTCAATCATTGCCAAGAATAATGTGACACATAAGTACATATAGGGCATGTTTGATTGGGTGGATTAGAGCATGAGATTGAGATTATTAATCCGTGGGCCTAATTATCCTAGGTTTGTTTTGACATTTTGGTTTAGGATTATTAATCTAATGGATAATTAATCTAACAAATTTGTAGGATTATTAGTAATGAGGTAGGGGTGGAATTATTAATCCAATTGGATAGTGAATATCACACTAATTTAATAGGATTATTAATACTTCACTATTAATCTTGTGAATCAAACATGACCATAGGGTATCGTGGCTAAGTCTTCAAACTGAATTTGTTGTTTTCTTTGCTACATCTTCAAGATCCTCTTATGTATTGGAACAATTAACATTGTCATTGATGTTTGTGGAAGGAAACTTCTTCTGATGAATGGAATGGGGTGTCTGGTTTTGTCGAATAATATAATTCATGGCCTTGTCACCACATTCTATTTCAAACATCAGAGAAATATATCATTGCTTCTTACTTAATAGATTTTGTCCCCAATCTTCGAAGTTTTTATTCTTTGATCATTTCTGTAAATAATTGCTACAAGATTATCATTTAACCTGCGGCAATTTATTATCAACACACTGTTTGAAATTAAAGATCAACACACATGGGGGTAATCATTGTTTGCTATCACTTTTGGTGGATTTTTTATGTCATAGTTCCACTTTAATTGTAGATATTACTCGTTTGGGAATAGGCTAATTTAGTAATTTTTTGGTTATTTGGCTAAAATATGAGCTAAAAAAAATTAATATGTTTAGAATGACTTTTTGATTTTTTACGAAAAGATGTGCAAAAAGTAGAAAGAAAAGAGAATCTTTGATTTTTTGGTATAAGTTGTTGACTTTTCGACTAATTTAGTAATTTTTTGACTTTTTAACTAAAAAGAAGAGTTTCCAAACGAAGTATTTTGATTATCTAGTTGTATGTAAGGTTAGGCGGCAGGAGGTTAAACCAGCACATGACTTGGCTCGCTCTGTAAATCATTTCCCCACTTAATATAATTCTAGCTGGTTTGTTTTGTTTTCCCAAAAAAATCATTGTTTGCTATCAGCATTTTCAGAACAGAGACACCTCAAAAGGAAAATCTAAAAATCATTATCAAATCAAGGAAAATGCTATGGTAACCAAATATTTTCTAATCAAAAAACATGTAATATTATCACAAAATTGCATTTTATCATCACAAAATGCGTAATTTTATTTTTAAATTACAGATTATCATAATTTTACCAAAATATGTGTTATATATAAACACTAAAATTACTATTTTTTTTATGCATGGAAATCTTTTAAAATATTAAGTGAGAAATCTAATTTTATATTATTATATTAGTAAGTGCAGCTATTATAATTTGTTTTTCACAATAATTATAATATTTTATTTCTTGAGCAATTTCATTTGATTTTTATAGATGACTTAAATCATAAATCATAGCTATTGAGATTGATGCAAATCATAATTATTGAGATAAATTTTAAATATTTTTTATTGTTAACATTATTAATTTATTCACACATTTTCCTGATGTAGATTGAATTGTAAAATTTAATCAACTTCAACTTTAAAAAACATCTCCGAAAACAATTATAATTGGTATAATCAAATAATTCATACATTGGCCAAACAACGATCTATTACTTTTAAATAATTCATCAATTCTATTTTTTTTTTAATATTTAAAATTTTATTTTTAAAATACTAATATTATAATGTTTGACTTGCTTGGTGATATTTTTAGTGGGATGAATCATTGTTGTTTTTGTATAATCAAATAATTCATACATTGGCCAAACAACGATTTATTACTTTTAAATAATTGATCAATTCTATTTTTTTTTAATATTTAAAACTTTATTTTTAAAATACTAATATTATAATGTTTGGCTTGCTGAAATAAAATTAAATTGAATAAAATGATCATTTTTTATTCTCTTTATAGAATGATTATTCTCTCACAATAATGAATGATAATTTCATTTGTAATATTTTCTATTACTTTTTAATAAACTAATCGTGAAGATGGATATTATGATAGAATGATTTCAGTTCAATAAATCAGACATACAAGACCAAAATAATTAACTAATGTAACTTAAGATCAAAATTATTTAAAGACCTATTTTTAGAAACAATTCGAAAGCTCTTGACGGAGAGGCCTTGCCTCATGGCCCGGTCCTGCTATGACTACAAGCACAGAATATACAATTACATAAAACATATATAATGCAATTTTAATGAAATTATATATTCTATAATTAGTCTCACCACTAATATGCATGTCCAGTTATTCATAAATAAATAAAAACAAGTGAATTAATGCATGTCCAATTTTTATTTTTATTTTTTTGATTCTATATTAGGGTTGTTTTGAGTATATTTATATACAATTTGTGACTGAGAAATGAAATTATGCATTTTTGTAATAATGTTATATATTTTATGGTATTATTACCGATTTTGTGATTAAAAAATATTTGAATAAAAAAAATATATAATATTATCACAAAAATATATAACACTATTACAAATGTATAATTTTATTTTGAATCACAAATTATCATATTTGGTACCACAAATATATGTAATATTTTCATAAAAATACATGGCATTTATTACAAAAATAAGTAAAAGTGCATTTATGCAACGAGAGATGCTACATCCCTATTTCATAATCCCAATTATGTGTTTAATGAAATGACAAATAATTTTAAAAGGTGAGAAAAGAGGTTAAAAACAATTGATAAGTTGAAATTGATTAATTGATTTTACAACAATGATATGTAGTTTGAATTTGAGTTTACGAGAGTGGTTGAGTTTTGATTTGTTGGTCATTCGATAATAAGATGACCTTCGTGATCGACAAGGGTAACCATTATTTTTTCTGAACGATCGATCAATATGCACAAATTCAAAAAATACTGACAAACTAAAATTAGCTACCAAATATTTTTCATGATCTTTTTTGCCAAATGAGAGATGAGCCATTTCTCTTATGCAACCTTTGAAAGGGTTTTTTTTTTTTTCTTTTTTCCGAACAATCCTTTGAAAGTTCTGTCTGTATAAATAGTGTTTCAAGATTCCAATTTTCCATACCTTTTTGTCTTCCTTCCCCCATCAACAACCAAGCACAGGTAGAGAGAGAGAGAGAGAGAGAGAGAGAGAGAGAGAGAGAGTGAGTGAATGGAGAGGTCAGAGAACAACGCTCCATCCGAATCAGCGGAGCTGATACTTCCCCGCATCAATCCCAATCCCAATCCCAACACCAACAACAACCCTAATTCTTCATCTTCTTTGTCATCACAGTCGCAACAACGAGGTCCTCAGTGGCCAACAATTGATGGGCCGCTGGGTCTATCGGAGGAAGCTTCGATAGGATACGCTCGTAGGTTCTTCAAGTTCGGCTTCTTCGTTATGCCCTTCCTTTGGGCCCTCAATTGCCTTTACTTCTGGCCTGTCCTCCGCCACTCCCGTTCCTTTCCCCAATTTCGCCACTGTAAGACTACATTCATATTTGCTCTTTTTTCTTCTTGTTTTATGCTTGCTATTGTTATGCTTTTTTAGATTACAATTTTTTATTAGTTTCAAATTTGTTGCTCTTTGCATTCAAATTGTTTTCCTTTTTGATGAAATCAACAATACCCATGTTCTTATTTTTGCATTTTCTGGGGCTCTTAAATTCTAACGATTATAATTGTTCTTGCTCATCTTTGATATTTAGTTCATACATACCTTGGCATTGTCTACTCTGTTGTTTATCTGTCTATAATTCAGAATATCAGGAGGAGTCCACCCCATTTTGAAATTTATGAATCTTCAGATGTGGGTTTATGCTGATTCTCACTGTTTATGCTGATTTATTTGTTTTCGAACAAATTGTCCAACTATTGAGTTCATAATCATCACATTGCTGGATGTATATATTTGATATCCCAGCAGAAGCCTTTTGAGATCACTGGATAACTTTCTTAAAGATCCTGGAATTTCTTGAGATAGGTGTCTCTCTTCTTAGTGTTAATTTGTTTTTTCTGTCTTGAGCAGTGGATTGGATAAAAATGAGGAAAGGTTTTGCTCGCCATTGGTGTGCTTATATGCATTTGGGTGTATCTGTTGTTTGATTTTGAAATGTTATTATTGTTTGTGCGAAAATCTTTACCTAAAAGATAGACTAACACATGCTTAATGATGCTGTCGTTTTCACACCAAAATATTCTATTTAAAACCAAGTAATAACTACTATTCCGAAGTATTGCAATTAAGACCAGATGTCGATCCTCAAAGACTAATCGAGTTGTTTTGATACAAAAATAATAATTAAAGTAATTTTAAAAAAATAGATTTTGAAAATATTAAAACTAAAATTAATAAAACATACAACAAATAAAATAAAATAAGAAATATTTCAGAGTTTTGAATCCATCACTAACCTTATAATTAGCGGTTATTGTATTTGTTTTTAAAAAATCATTGATTTAGATAATATGATGTAAGTTGATCCAGAATATATCGTCAAGAGGATTTGTATATTAAAACCAAAAAGTCATGAATCTTCTTCACTTAGCACAGACCATCACCACTAAACCAAACTAAACTAAACTATAAATTATGATTGATACACGACATGTCTTACTAGGTATGACTCGTCTAACAATTTTAATACACAACAGTAAAACCAATTGTATAACATGATTTGAATAAAACATTTTTTGCACAAAAATATCTAAAAGTTATACAATTTATCTAAATCAAATCAAAACATCTAATTCAAATCAAAACTAAAAATGCTAAATACAATAAACCCTAATAATTTTATCAAGTTTCATCTCTACCCTAAGAAGAAAATATTAGCTCCGAACACCCATATAACTACTACACTCTAATATATACAAATTACACTCTCCCACTTTTTCTTTCTTTCTATTTTTCTCTCTTTCTTTCCTTGGCTTGCTTGGCCGAAGCCTCTCCCTCCCTCTCTTCCTTTCTTGTTCTTCTCTTCTTCTATTTACAAATAAAAAATCCTACAAAAGAAAATAAACATAGTAAAATAAATAATATAATATTTTATTATATATATATATAATTGAGAGAGAGAGGTGTGGGAGGCGTGCTATCTCTTCTCTTTTTTTTTTTTCAATTTTTTAATCTTATTTATTTTATAATATATAATATAATATATAAAATATTAAAAAGTATTATTTACACTAATTTATTTACAAACACCTAAAATATATACAAATATACAAAATCACACAAAATTAAAAAATAATACAAATTAATAGACTAATAAAATGTATGTTAGTGGGCCAAATGTGTAATATTTAGGGCCCGATCACTTAATCTTATTCAGAAAAGTTCTCTCATTAAATAGGAAAAGTACGATAGCTCTGCATTACCTTGTGATCCCCTTGTTCAAAGGTGTACTTTCCGTATCATCAATCTCATACTCCATGTATTTTTCTAACAAACAAATTCCGCCTTGCGTGAGTTCGTAAATTTTCAAATACATTACCACAAAATTGTCCAAAAGAAAGCTTCAAGACTCAATTAAAGCATGGCCGAGAGTAGTACTAGGCCAAGCCAAGATATCTGACACCTCTGAGGTATCATATCTAACTCTATACCTCCCATGATATGAACCCCAAGGTCTAAATCATGTGAAATAGGCAAACCCGATATTTCCATTCTATTAAAAGCAAGGGGATTCAACCACTTGTCTATAGGTGAGTTAGCCTCTACTAGTCTAGGACCTTATAAAATGGGATATCCATTGAACATAAACCATTTCTTATTGTCTTCTTCCTCTTGCTCCTACTTTGGTGACATGGGTCTCTCTCCATCGCCACCCTCTTTACTCTAATACTGAATTGGTCCACTCCTCTACCTCCAATGATTCATGACCATTGATATGCCACCATTTTCCCAGAGGTCCATGATTGTCCACCTCACTAACCATTCCCTACATTACACTCCATTGGGAAAGTGGTGCTCACTTCTCATGGCCCCAAAGAAGAATGCTTAATGTAACATCCTGGGTAGTGTTATTAAAGGCGATAGGCGCATTGAAACTCCAAGGTTTCTTAGGGCCTAGGTGGTAGGTGCAATGCAAGGTGTGAGCTTCATCGAAACGAGGCTCATGTTGACGATAAAAATAGATAATTTAATATAAGCAAATAATTCAAGGTTCAACATTAGTAAAAACTAAAATGAAATACTTTAAAACACACATACCAACAAATACCAATATTTTATCATAGACAAATAATTCAAGGTTCACATAAACACAAAGATCTAACTCATAAATTATACCCATTTAAAAATAGTGACAAAATTAAAGTATCGAACACGATAAGCATAGAGAAAGAGAAGTAGGGGAAGGAGATTGAGGAGATGAAGAAGAATAACGACAGTTGTTAGTCTAGTCGAAAAAAAAAAGCACTATCCAACGTCTTCGTATAATTAGGGTTAAAAAAGTGTTTGGTTGCAATATATATTTAGGGGTTTAGTCCCTTGTAGCCTAGCCGCATGTAAAAAAATGAAAATAAAATGAGATTAAGTGAAATCAAAGGTAGTAATTATAATAAACAAACATTTTAAAAGAAGCGCACAAGTTGTGTGCTTGCAGCCTAAGCCTAAAGTGCACACCTTATGCTCCTCTACAGTGCCTATTTTACATTACCTAGCCTGAGATGTTCCGAAGCACAATGATTGGGCCGAGGCACATGCCTAGGTGTGCCTTTAATCCCGAATTTCCAAAACCTTCTTTTAATCTATATATCCCTGCGTTCAAACCATTTGTAATTGAATCCATGGGTTGGTACGATTCATGGAGTTAATTGTTTATTTATCTTTTGTGTCCTAATGTTGTAAGGATGCGATTGAACCTCCTGAGATGCTATACTGAAGAACTTACTATTACGATAGTACTTTCTCTTTGACTTAAGTATTGAGAGACTAGCACGACCAACCTACTGTGGCTGTGGAACTCACATGGTATGACCACTGCAGTGAGTTGTGTTGTGGTCAAGTGAATCACTTGAGTCACGCTAAGTGTGTGGCTAGATGTAAGTCTTTTGTTTGATGTGTCCACAACACGTCACTAGCCATGTATGCAACTCCTGTGAAGAGATCAAAGATGGACACACATACATATGTACTTACATATTGTGTATATATATTGATAGCAAAATTAACTATTAACATTAAGTCTTATAAATTATATTTAGTTTATTGGAAAATTAAATATATTATAAAAATTCCCTTATATTGAAGGTAAGCCATGTTGCAATACCCCATGATTTCACTGCCGCTTCAGGAGGGTACATCCAGCATTAGTGGATGTGGTTGCAGAGAATGGGAGCAGTGATGATCTTCTTCTTGTATTAGCATTTTGACTATTCTCTTTTCATGTGGTGATACGGATTGAATTTCTTGCATTTAGTCATTTGGGTTAAGTTGTTATATAATCTTGTTAATTATAAAATTTGTATCAGGAGAACATATTTAGTTTAGTATGTTATTTTGGCTGTTCGCACATTCTTTGTTACATATTTACATACAAGTAAGAGTCTCTTAATTTACTTATAAATAAATCAACTACAAGTTTTTATATTTATATTTTTTTAATTATTATTTTTAGTTGTGAAAGAACAAAAGGTAGAAACTCTTAAACTATCGTTATTTTGAATTGTGTTCTTCTCTTCTCTCTCTTTTATTTATTTATTTGGTCTTCTGATTTTGATAACTCAGAAAGTTGTTTAAAAAAAAAAAGAAAAAAAAGATGATATATATTTCAAAGGATAAGATACGTTTATGGTCCTTGAAGTAAGCATTTTATGTTTCTTTGATCCTTTAAGTTTCAATTTTGTCTTTGAAATTTTCAATTTGAGTCAATTTGGTCTAATTTCAAACTAATCGTCTAAATAGTTAACGGAATAATAATAAGATACACATACACATATGGTTCCTGAAGTATGTGTTCCTTGTCACTTTGGTCCTTAAAGTTTTTGATTTTGTCAATTTGGTTCTAAAACATTGATGACGAAGATGAAACTTAACCTTACAATATTGAGGGAAAAGTTGAAACTTTAGCGACCAAAATGACACAAAACTTATATTTTAGAGACTATAGTTGAAATTTTTAATTATTCCACTAATGATTAAACAACCATTTTGAATTGGACCAATTTGACTCAAATTGAAAATTTCAGGGACAATTGACAAAATTTAAATTTAAAGGACCAAAGTTACATGAAGCACATACGTTAGGGACCACAAGTGTATTTTATCCATATTTTGGATATTTCAAATGCTGTGAAAATCAAAGATATTGTTTCAAATGCTATCCTAGACATTGCTTCTGTGTTTGATTCATATCCGTAAACTTATCTTTTATTTGTATTTTTGTTTTCCTTTTTGTCATCATTTTATGTGGCTTACAAGGTTTTCTTGGTGATTTTGTCTTTAGGAACTTCAATCCACTTTCCGAGAATTATGCTATTGATTTTAATAAACCTTACCTTTTTGTAGATGTGGTTGGATCAGCAGTAGGTTTCGTGGTGTTCACAGCTCTGCTCTCATCATGGGCCCTTACATTTGCCATTGGAGGGGAGCGCCTCTTCGGCCATGTATGGAATGATTTAGTAATGTACAATGTTGCTGAAAGGTTTGGATTGACAGGTTGGATCTAGTAGTTGCATGCATGCCCTTCTTCTTGTTTATCTGCCGTTGTTAACATTTTTAACACAAACACAGAGACTCCTTGGCACTGAACCAATTGTAGTTAATAGCTTAATATTCTCCCTATTTTTCTGTGTTTTGACTGTTGAAAATGATGTTCCATGACATGAACTCATTCTCTCTCTTGATAAATTATAAATATCAAAAGGGGAGCATTTTTCATCATTAGGAGTACAGGACAGCCAAACTAGATGAGAACTGATTTTCTGAGTTTTGATTGTTGATTATTTGGTCATCTAACCTTTGTGGAAAAATGATAGATCCATGCAGGCTATATGGTGGATCTAATTTGATAAAATGGTATTTGAATGGATCTTCAATAATCTACTAGGTTTATGCATATGATGGAAAAACGAAGGAATATGAAAATTTTAAGCCGATTGTGCCTTTCCTGAGGCTGGTTGCGCATACAGCTGTGGTGTAATGTGTCCCCTCCGAAAGGATGGATGACATGGAAAGGTTGGGTGAAAACAACTTTTTAATGGAGGATTGGTGTGCTTAATGGCAATGTTTGCATTTTGTGTCTTTTTTGCAAGTCCACTGTTGAAATACTTAGCCATGATCTATGATAAATTGGTGGGATCTTCAATGGGTAATGCCTGAATCAGGGAAAGGACTGCTTCAGTGGTGGTTAGGAGTTAAGTTCAAAAAACTGGAGTTCGAATATGGAAGGCTGCTCCTCTTGTGCTGTTGTGGTCTATTTGGAACCTCATGAACGATTGTGTTTCTGCCAACCAAATTTTGTTGAGTTGGGTGAAATTGTTAGGCAAGAGTTGCTTTACGGGTTAAGTACAATTCAAAAGGGGTGCCTTACTCGGTGATTTTGTCTCAAACCTCAAGCAATTTAGATACTGTAAGAGAGGTGGTTGGTAATTTTGCATTTTTGTTGTTGTTTGATGACTGATGCTGCTTGTTGCTGTTTGGATCTTTCAACCTCACAGCTGCTGCTTTTTTGATGATTTTACATGAGATTTTAGTGGATCAATAAAAGGTGATTTGGTGTCGAGTGTTGGTTTTTGTTTTCCAGGTGGTGATTAGGGGCTGTTTGGTTTTGTTGGTTTTTCTTGTTTTGCTTTAGCTTTGGTTGGTCTCTCACCAATGTTTTGGTGTTGCGCTAGCATATGATTGGTTTTTCTTCATGGTGTCAATCTAATTGGGATTATTTAGCTTTTCTTTGATATTTTATGAACTCACCTCCCTTTATTAATGTTTGTCTACATTGATGTTGATCAATAAAATTTCAACAATGACTCATTCCACTAAAAACACCACCACTAATAGTATTAATGCATTAAAAAAGTAAAAAAAAAAAAAAAAAAAACTCCAAGACCAAAATATCACATCATTAATGGCGGGACCCACTGCCACCTAATTAGTGGGAGCACTAATTAGTGCTCCCAAGCATTTTTCATAAAATTTTAGTGAAAAAGTATTGGGTACCTAGTTTTTGTACGACAAACAAGTTATCAAAAAGTCAAGTAATCAATGAAGTATTCATACAAGCAAGCACCAAACCCACCATACTTCATTTTCTTCTTATCAGTCTTAACGAAATTGAAAAATCAATGAAACTTACTGGTCTCTAGAAAAATGAATTACTATTTATTTTTAATGAGCCTTTGATTCTTCTTCAATCATGCTGGTCAACAATATCTAATCACGGCCACCTAACAAGGGGGTGCTAGACACTATAAAGAAAATGAATGTACAATGTCTAATCACGCGGTCAGCTACATGGGGGTCCTAGACACTACAAAGAAAATGAATTACTAACTTTTTATATAAGATTTATAGGTATTATTTCTTTGCCCTTGGGTCTAACAAATAAAATGGTGAATTTGAAACACTTGTTTTAATAAAAATATGTTCGAGGTTAGAAATCTTGGTGTGACAAGAATAATAATAATATATATATATATATAGAGAGAGAGAGAGAGAGAGAGAGAGAGAGAGAGATGGTTTTGCTCTTAAAACACTCACAAAACCATTCTCACTCGCAAAACCATTCTCGTTAGATTTGTGAATGTGCCCATGCATGGAGGTTCATTGAGGTTATATTTACATCTCGAATTTATTAAAGAAAAAGAAAAAATAAATAAAAAAAAATACTTCTACTCTACTCTTTTTTTCATTCTTTCAACAAATTCAAGAATTAAGCACAATCTAAGGCGCTAAAGAGATAGAAAATTGCAGCAATAAATTATCTTGCTACTATGAATTGATGGAAAATGTCTTTAAAATAGTATATGATGTAAGAATTAGTGTTTTTTTTTTTTATAAAAAGGATGGTAAGAGCATAGTAGAGCCTTAAAACTTAAAAATGAAAAAAATAATTTAAAAATTAAAGAAGAAAAAAATGAACAAAAAAACTACAAATTTCTGAGCTTCCACCCCTAAATCCTAAATTTTGATAAGATTTATTTGAACACTCCACTTAATACCAAATTTATCCATATTCATAATATTGTCACACCTAAAGCACACCCACCTAATTTTGCACACTCTCTCTCCTTCTCCTTTAATAACCGTTTATCTCCGGTTGAAAAGAACGCCGGCAGTCACTGCATCAGTAAACATTGCATCGACGGTCTATCATTGAAATTCCTATCACCTCTCAACGAAACGAGAAATTGACTCGACGATGGCCAAAGAATACCGTCGAAAAAATTGTCGGAAATTCATGTCCACCATTGAAAACTCATCAGAAATTCCTCTCCAATAAATATCGACTACCCATCTTATCAACAACATTGCCTCTCTTCTTCATATCACATTCTTGTTTTTTTGTTTATTTCAGCGTAAAAAAGGGTATTAAAGGAAAAAAAATCCTCACGAAAAACATAATCTGGTGTTGAAAATACAAAAATTAAACCATTCGACACACCAGTGTCGAAAAATAAAGGTCATGTTCAGTTCAACAGTACATACCGACTATCTGCATTACTGTTTTGAATCCATATATTGAACTAAATGTTTGTGTTTAGTACTGGCTAACCAAACATAATCTTAACAGTCAGTAAACTAATACCGAACAACTTGAACAAAACAACAACAATTGAAAATGACCAAGAATTTATTTATTTTTTGAACAACGACCAAGAATGTTAATGCAAGATAGATAAACTTACCAATGGAACACCAGCTTTATCAGAATTGTTGTCATCGTCCTCCATTGCTCTACAAGTTGAAATAACTGATGAAGAGCAATACATTGGACTTAAAAAGAGTTTTTTGGTTTAAAGTTTCTAATTTAGGGGAGTTTGTGATGGTGATGAAGAGGATATGTTAAGGATTTAAGATGGTTATGAAAAGTAACAAGTTTAGAGTTTAGATTGGTTGATTATAAAAAGTAATATGTTTAAGGTTTAGAAAGGTGAAATACGTATAGCTAGAGATGGAGGTGGAGGTGGAGGTGGAGGTGGAGGTGAGAATAAGTATAGGTGGAGGTAGAGGCAGAGGTGGAGGTGAGGGTAGAAGTGGGGGTGGGTGTACAATATTATATAGTATTAATTCTTATTTGGTAGGTAAGTATTCCATTAAATAATGTCTTTTAATGTACTTTTATTTTAAGATATATTTATAATAAAAGAAAAATTAAAAATTAAAGGATCTAAAAATTTTAGATAAGTACTAATAAAGCACTCCTTGTGAGGGTTAGCTGATTTTTTTTCATGTTCATCAAAAAAAAAAATGACCTCCGTAGTCCAAATATTATTCCTTAGTTGCCTACATAGAAGTCCATGTATGTTTGGTATCAGCCCTTTCATTATTTTTCAACCAAAAGCTGTTTTTTTTTTTAACAGCAACCAAATGCAGATTGATACAACATCAACATATGATTGAGAATTTGAGAAGAAATTTAGAAAGAGAAAAGATAAAGGTATGTAAAATAAGGTGAAATATATATATTTTTTATTCATATTTTACATACTTTTTTTCATTTCTATTTTCAAATCCTTTATCAAATCTTTCAACTAAACACAACATTAAAATATGAGGAATGTAAATATAAACAGAAATGAAAATGATAATTTTTAAAAATTAAATATTTTTTACATGAACAAAAATACCCTTACTCTTACTTTTTAGAATAATGAAATTGACTTATTTTTAAAAATATAACAAATAAAATGATATTGCTCTCTTGAATAAAAAACAAAAACATTAATATTTCATTATAAATAAAAACAATAATTTATTAATCACATAAAATAATAGTACTTTTCATATTTGGAAGCTCATTTACGTTGAAACAATTCTCTAAAATGGATTAATGAATTTCACTTATAATTAAATTTTTATCCATTAGTCTATTAATGCTACAATATTATGGCAAATGCTAACAAGTGTACCATGGCATTATTTAATATTGAGAAGTGTGCAAAAAGTCTATTAAAAATATATAAAAATATTAAAAAGTATATTAATTTCAATAAAAATGCAATGAAATTAATAAAAAGTGAATTGTATTCTACTAATATTATACCCCCCAAAAAAACATTGATGCTATAATATTACAACAAAAAATAATAAACAAAATAAATAAAAATACTTTATTCAGAATTATATAAACACGTGTTGCAAATTATATATATATATATATATATATAATTTTAAAATAAAATAAAATAATAGAATGGAAATACAAATCGGATGTTTTTGATCTCTATGTAAACAAAAATTCTTGAATTTTAACAGTTTTAAAAGCTTTTACTATTTTCTATACAAATATACATAATTGTACCCATTTCATGTCGTCTTTAACATATGGTCCTTTAGGCGCATTTTAAATTATAAAAATAATAAATAATCTCTGAAAAAATTAGTAAGAAGTCAAAAGAATTGCAAGTCAGTTGGACGTTTTTCAAAATTCCAGAATAGATGACACGTTTAAAGTTAATCGCAAAAAGATGGTATCTGAATTTATCTGGATAGAGCTACCTGTTGGATCATCCCATGTGAGCTCCCATTGGAGAACCCACTTTCTCCACCCAATGGAAGTGGCTCTCCCACTCTACCAACCCCACTAGAGAGTGGAAGAGGGTAAGTGGTGACCAATGAGGCTCTCCCTCATTGGTGTATAAATAGAGGTTGAGGGGAGAGTTGAAATCATCAGAAATTGAGTGTGAGAGCTGTGAGTTGAGTGAGTTTCATCTCCTCCTCTGTATTTGTATTTTTGCTCCATTTTAGTGATAATTCTCATTTCTGTTCGTGGATGTAGGCATTGGGCCGAACCACGTAAATATTGTGTTCTCTGAGTGTGTGACATAATTCTCTGGGTGTCTTTGATTCTAACAA